TGTCCCCAAGGACACATGAACCAGTGGATAAAAGTGTTGATTGAAGTAATCCAATGACTTGACTCAAAGAGTTGTGAGTTCAATAGGTGAACAAAAACTTAAAGAGTTAAGTTACTAAAGGAGAAATAACTGAAACTGAGATATTGAGAAGAGGCATGGCACACGGAACTAGAACAATATATCCTAATGGATGAAAAGAGTTTGATTAAAAATTACAATGTATATCATCTGAAGAAGCATACAACAGCTGAAATAAATATGATAAAGATGAGGACAATAGTCTGAACAATGTAAATAGTTACGATACCTCATCTCAGAAATATAGACAGATAATATCTCCTCATCCCAGAAATTCAGATATATAATGATAAAAAATAAAAGTGATACATACAAATTAAGTATCATGATATAGGTTGAGTATCTTTTATCTGAAATTCCAAAATCCAAAAGTTTTTCAGGTGCTGACATGACTTGCCAATGGAAAATTTCAGAAAGCACTTGGAAGGTTTCGTAGGTGGTGTGCAACTGTTGTAAGTGACCTCATCTGCCCTAAGTTGACGCCAATTTTTTGTTAGTGATTGTCACAGCAACACCTTCGTTCGTGGATTACTTACCAGGTGTTTCATGCTCAATAAAGATATTATCCAAAATGTCAAAAGTCCTGCATTTATATATTTTTTGTAAGTAGTGATCATGTTTTTGTACATGTACAGAAAGTACAAAACATTATTTTACGTGAAATCCTAATTTTACTACTTAAAAATCCGTGTGAACATTACATGACTAGCATCATTACCTGTATGTGCATGGACACAAAATTTATTAAATTCTATATAAAACTACTTTCAGGGTATATGTATAAGCTGTGTTATGAAATGTAAAAGGATATCATGTTTACGCTTGAGTTCCATTCCCAAGCTGCCCTATTTTATAGACGCTATATACAAATTAAATTAAAAATCTAAAAACCAAAGCACTTCTGGTCCCAAGAATTTCAGATAAAGGATTCTAAAGCTAAGTTTATAAATAGAAAAAATTGTTTAGTCACCTGATATTAAAGAATGGTATCCTGTAGGACCAAACTTACTGAAGGACAATATTATTCCATCAGACAACACAGCACTGATAGAACCAAAATCACTATACACAATTTCAGAAAATACTTCTGACGCCTGTTCCAAAGAATCGGTTTCTTTTTCAACATTTTCTATTGTGGAAAATCTCTCACGATATGAAGGTGCCTTCTTGAATTTTTCTTCTTCATCACCTGAAATATTTTTTTTTTAAATTGTTACAGAACATAATTGAGTGTATCTTAGTAGCAAATGCTTATTCCATTAAAGTTTGTTAGTATTTTTGTACTATTTTGAACTATTGTTCTTATCTTGGTTGATATAGATATTACTAAAGACATATCATCAGGTGTCTATTGATTGGCTGATATGGGATATCTGTTGATTATGGTGATATTTTGTCTCTGTGATGTCAGTTATTGTTAAAATATGAGTGAAACACTATGTCTATAATACAGTAACATGCAGAAGGAGAGGGGGTAGAGGGTTGTGATGGCCCTGGGCACCTATATCTGGAGAGCATCCAATCAAAGAGTGAAATAAAAATTTATTTCATATTTAATTTGAATAATTTCATGATTCATCTGTTTTTACATATTTAAAATATCTTCCTTTCTCACATTTCTCAGTATTAGACCCTACAGTCCCCCCCTGACTACTTGAGTCTTAGGAGTTGACCCCAGGCATCACCAAACCTCTGCATGTCACTGCTATAACATCTGTATCAACTGATATGAGAACAATAGTTCAAAATAATACAAGAATATTGACAATTACTCATCTCAAAAAAGACATACTAAAGTTTGTTAAAGGTAACAGAGACATTATGTCTATTATATTTTTTATAAGTTTTCCTAGTTAGTGGATCACTTTCTGTATCTTGATGTTGAAGGTATAAATAAACTGTTCATGTTGTCTTTGTCATTATTGGTTGGGTCAACATTAAACAATAAGATCAGATACATTTTTATAACAAAATATTTTCTTTGCAGTGTAAACAGTTACAAGATACTGATTCCTTTTATTTATTAAATTGGATAAACATGATATTCATTCCCAGTCACCTCAACTCAAATGAAGTTTCAGCCGAACTAAATATTTAATTTCTTAAAACTAGTAGGGGCTTACAGCCGTGCCATGTCAAAACACTAGTTCTCATAAGCTTGGGAACACCAGCTGCTGTAAGTTTGGAAGTGTGGGTGGTGTAATGGATAATGGCTCAGAATTGTTAATAGGAGCGCTTAGTTCCAATTCCAGTCAGGTTCATTATATTTACTTACATGCAAAAACCTTTTGGAAAGGTATGAACAGTGATGGGCATAAGGTTGCTGGCACCCTGGGCAAGCTAAACTTCAGCATCCTTACAAGTATATTTTTTTTTAAATTTTCACATAGAGAAAAACTGAAAATGTAGAATAATGAGTTTATTACAATGTAGAACTTAATACAAGCCAAAGAAAACATTCATTATCCTACCTAAAACATTTTTTCTAGCCTTAAGATATGCAAATCTTTTCATGGCACTTTCTAACCTATCTTCTTTACAAGACCATTTTCTATTGACAACCACAAGTATGTTTTTATAAATTTTAATTTTGGAAGATCCCAAACACATGACATGGCAGCCTGATGGCACCCTCAGTCTTCATGATGCCCTAGGCGACTACCCAAGTTGCCAGTATTTTGAGCGAATCCCGAGTATGAATCCACCTCTTCTTCCCCCAGCTATGGGTTAATTAGTAGGGCTTGTATCAGTAAATCATGATTATCTCCCAAAAATTCTAATCTAAAAATATTTCAAGCTTTATATAACCAACAAAATGTTGATAAGCCATAAAAAACAAATCAATAAAACCATAAAATTAGTAGGACTGAAAGTTCAGATTAAAGAAATGCTGGTTAGTATCTAACCAATTGGCATGACAATATTTAATTCCCATATACTGCATCCAAGTTTCAAGTTATTTGAATGTAAATTTAATTTACCTTTGTCGATTCTCAATAGGTTACAAGAAGTATAGCCGCTGACAAACAAGAATGGATAAAATAGGATTTTGATTGATACTAGAGTAAGCCATTATGATCTCCTTACCTACAAATAAAGCTGGAACCACATTTTCATTTAACTCTGATGGTGAGGTTTTGGCCTTTGTTTCAGAAAGGTGTTCATTTTCTTCTAAATCCTTTGGATTGAGCAAGTGCACAGTGAATACATGCCCATTTTTTAATACTGAACACTTCACACTTTGATAGCCTGTTCAATCAAATTGTAAAGAATTTTAGATTAACATGCATTGAAATATTAAACAAACAATTAATACATAACTATATATTTCTCTCTTCCTAACTATTTATAGATAGATAATTAGCTAGCTAGCTAGCTAGATAGATAGATAGATAGATTTTTATATACATGATGAGTTTTGGATGATTAAGTTTTAATGAAATAAAAACTGAAAATGCTATAGATTTGATATCCTAGGTTACATATTTGGTGTGGTGAAATCTTTCACATTATATCTATGAGTTATAAAAATAATGAAAAATTATAAAAAGAAATCTACTGAATCTGGCAAGGATTATATATTTTACCAATACAAGTAAACACAGTGGTGCTTCCATACTTCAGAAAAGGAAACTATATATATTAACCATTGCTGAGTTAATTAGTAGGACTTAACAGTAAATTATTATCCCCCCCAATTCTTAAAATCTAGAAATATTTTCTGTCTTTAAATAACCTGCAAAAGGTTGATAAGCCATAAAATACAAATCAATCAATCAAAATGAAATACTTACCATAAAGATATTCTGTTGTTTCAATTCTTATTTGGGCTCCATCACTTGGAAACAAGGTGTACTTACTTGCAGTCAGACTAATAATATTGTTTCCCACATCATAACCAGTGAACTGTAAAATATTAATATTGTCTATCAGGCAGGAAATGAACATTTGATTTTTTTCTGCTATTTCTGATATGTTATAGATTTTATTGCACTTTTATTTCAATATAGAAAAAAGATAAAACAAAAATTAGGTGGGGCTATTAGGCATAAAATTGAACAGAAATGATTTATTTACAATTATTATTATTAATCATTTCATTCCAAGCAAGGCAATAATGCTACAAAGATGGAAGGGATCACTGAGTGTTAGAGAATATGAGAAGAAGAAAACATTATTAAGGAGAGAAAACAGGAATTAAGACAGAAGATAAAGATTTACAGTGAATTTAAGATCAAATTTGACTGGGAAGCAAGAAGCCAGAAAAGACTTCCATAAGTGAGAAGTGTATGAGAAGAAACTGTTAGCATAGAACTTATAGTGGCATGTAGCCAGTTCAAGTGTAAAATGATGAGACCTTGCTGCCAATCTAGTACTGCACTTAAATTCGTGAAGTCTGGCTACCATCAATCAGTTATGTGGCATGCATGATACTCACTTAGGTGATCATGTATCTTTCGACACATGACTGATGAGGCAGATTTTTCCGCAGTAGGTTGCCATTTCTTTCTGTGTTAGACCAGCTGCTATCCAAGGCTACAGAACCTGGTCTGCCCTGCTATTTACCCATAGCTGGGGGGAGAAGAAGAGGATTCATACCTTTCCCAAGGGTATTGGCATGTAAGTGAATGTAATGGATTCGACTAGAATTTGAACTCAGCTCTCCAATTCCTCAATCCAAGCCACTATCCATTACTCCACCATGCCTGGCAACTATAGAGGAAAGTAATATTTATTTTGAATAATACAAAAATGTGGCACAAGGTCAAAGGGGGAGATTAGAGGAAGGTTTCAATCTGTCTTATCTTAAACCCAGCCAGCCATGACTACTGACCCAAACATACCACAGTATTCTTTACACCAAAACAGTCTTACTTACCACTCTTACTAGAGCCACCATAGTACCTCAAAGTCTCTGTCAGAGAGGAAAGTTCATCAGAATAATTACATGAAAATATTTATAGAACAAGTACAGGGAAGCTATGTTACAGTGGTTGGAGAGTGACTGGAGCCTTAAATTGAAGATTTAAATTGGGAATGAAATAAGGGTTTAATGGCTGGCTCAAGATATTTTTTTGATCACCCAGTGTAAATTAAGCTAGGTAATGAGAAAATGTTCATATGAAATTAGGATTTATGATTGATAAAATAAAAAAATATCCTTAAAGGGGCACAGGGAAAGTCCTCTGGAAATTGTCAAATTGTGAGCAGTTGAGGTCAAACATGGTGGGTGAGAATGACTGAAAGAGTTGCTTTTGTAGGAATGATAAGATTGATGTGAAAGTTTTGTCTGTGTCTCTTTGAAGTTGGTTTCAGAACAATTAGTAGTTTTTGGTCATTCTGAGTTACAAAGATATTTATATTTTTTTAAGACTGTCTTCTCATTTGTGCAACTATCATTCCTATGTCATATAAATGAACAGTGATCTTCACTAGTCAGTGAACTTGTTTATATTTGAGCCTCTAGTATCACTCAGTTACCATTTCAAATTATTTAGGGTTTGAATTCCTTGTCTTTGATTGGTGGGAAAATCCAAAGGAAGAATTTTTCTCCTAATCCTTTTTTTCTTTACTAGAACATTTGTATTTTACAGCAATGCAAAACAGTTTCAAATCAAAGCATAATGAAAAAAGTCATCCAAACATCTCATTGGTTACTGACATCTTCACTTTTAGGTAGGAGGTAAGGGGCATAGAAATATAATTTAAGAGAGAAAGAATAAAACACAAATAAGAATCCTTGAAGAACCTGCCTTATCTTAATAAGATACAATAATGTAGATATTTCCAGCAAGAGAACCAACTTAAAATAGAGCTAGAATCCCATTTGAAAACATGACACACAAAACTTCATCATGCTTTTCACCATATATCTATGTCATGATTTAGAGAAGTATTGAATCAAGGAGACTATGCTGAAAAACAATACTTGTTGCATAAAATAAATGTATTTTCATCATTAGACTTATCTATTTTTATCTGTAAATTTCTTTTAAAATCCTTTTTACAAGTTTAGCATTGCAGTTCAGACACCATTCTCAGGGTGTAGTTTCTTCTAGTCAAACACTTGTGGCTTAAAAAAATAAGCCAGATTGTCACCCATGAATTAAAACCATGAGACTTTTGTAGCAGTAAGCTAGTTTTATTCTCTGGTTTTAACCTACTGCTAAAGGCAATCAAGGCAGAGATGAAGCATAGGTGAGTGGGGAGGTGAACAGTCTAACAAGCATCTTCCCTTTTGTGTCATTCTCGAAGCAATCATCTTGTTACTGTCCAGGGGTCCTTTCTGTCTTCAGCTGATCTTGACAACTGTCTTATAAAGAACATTGTTCTTTGTCTTGTCATCTTTGTCTAAAACAGTAATTTATCTTCATTCAGTGATCCCCTTTGTCAGAGCCACTTGCCATAGTACTTTGAAGTTCACTTCACTTAGCTGATAATCATCATGAAAATAAATAATTTGCTCAGATGTTTTCATTTAACAAGATATCCGCTGACACTGATATCACTACACAAGCCTTCCTTGTTGTCTGGCTTGATTTGCTTATCTTTCATCTCAATTGTATCTTCACTCTCCCATAAAGAAACCTGCCTTTCCCCTTCTTTCATAGCAATAGGTGGATTTTTTAATTGTTGCTAATAGACTTGAAATATTTTGTATTTCTGATTGAGTAGAGTACAGTACTGTAATTTGGATTTCTGACATTTACTTTTGGACTCATCTTTCTGCCTATTATTAAAGCTTCTTTGACAAACTTTAACCTTTGTGCCCACAAAATAGGGCGTGTCAAAAGGACAGTTTTTCTTTTGACAATTTTATTACTGTATACTTCCTTCACTCCCTTGGCAATGTTTATTCTTTTAAAAAGCATTAACTAGAATTTTAATAAAAGCCACAAACATGAAAGTAAAATTATACATTTTCTTTGAGAATTTACAAAAAAAATATTAAATAATGTTTATTTATTAGATTGTTTATTTACAAGAATAATTTTATGCCACAACATTATAAAAATATACAAACCAACTAATACAATATAATGTTTATCATTTACCAATTTATAAAGAACTAAGGTACCTGGTGTAAATGGCTGCAATTGTATAACTGCACCTCCCTGTGTACCTGCACCCCTTGTCTAGACATGTCTGCCTGCATCCCCACTTGTATTGTATGCATCATCTGTTGGTATACTAAGCTACTCCCCCATCTCATCTTTTTTATGATATGTCCTTTGCAAGTGTTTGATTGTTCTTAATAAAGGAAATCCATCTTGTCAGGGTTAAATTGTTTCAATGTTTTAGATATTCACTAAATTTCCTATGGCTGTTATGACTTTCAAATAGTCTGGCATGTTCACAAATCTAATAATCAAACAACAGGGATGAAGCATCAGAGCTTGATTCAACTGGAAGTGCAAATGCATGAATTCACCCACCTCTTTCTTTGCACAATAAATGTAAAGCTAGGGTTAGTAAGAGGTTTTTCAGGAATTTTTCCCTTTTAATGCTTCAATAATCCTTCCCAAGCAATCATTGCATCAAAGGTTGTTTGAATGCCAATTTAGGATGGAATCATATAAAGAAACTATTGGCTAAATGGCAAAAGCTGATTTTGGATCTAGTTTGTCACAGATTTCATCCACTTAACTGAAATAATCTAAGCCAAACATTCATGCAAGACAATTTGTGCGTCATATGTAATTTACATGGCAAATTTAGAAAGTATCAGATGAAAAACCAAGGAGTCATTGTCAAAAAATAATCTTGTAACTAAACATTGCCAAGAAATCTTGGTAGTATACAGTATTATCAATGTCAACAGAAAAACCACCCTTTTGAAATACCATTTTTTGCTGGCACAAAGGTTAAACATTGCCATTTCTTTCATTTAAAACAGACATTTATATTTATTCATTTCAACAAGATCAGTTCTCCACTGGGTATTTATGCTGATGAAACAAGCATTTACTCCTGTCTCAATTGTAAGTCTGATAAGGTTAAATTGGCAGCTGATCTCAAAAATGACCTACAATCTGTTATTAACTGGGGCAAGGAATGGCTTATTAATTTTAATGCCTCCAAAAATGAAATTTCTCTCTATATCTCACATCAGCATGGCTGATGCTAATCTCCCGGAGAGTGACTCGTTGTGCCTTCTCAGGCTAACATTCTTGGGTGACATGAAGTTGAACGATTACATTGAATCCATTGCTAGGTCTGCTGCTAAGAATGTTCATTCATTGTGTCATGCTAGATAATTTTTCTCTCCAGAATCTATCTTATGTATTTACAAGTTTACCATTCGCTCATTTGTTGGATATTACTGTCACATATGGTTCAATACTCCTGCTATTAATTTAAAGATTCGTGATAAAATCCAAACAAGTACCCACAATATTATTGGTCCTGATCTGGCATCACGGCTTTGGTCATTTTCACACCACCATAAAGTTCCTTCTCTGTGCCTTTTCTATAAATACTTTCATGGTAATTGTTTGAATGAACTCTTCACTATGGTACCTAGACTTCTCACTTGTGGACCTCTCTTGCTTTCCAGCCAGATTTGATCTTTAAAAATTAATATGCAATGTCAATCATTATCTACTAACTTCTTCATTCCTCTTCTTTTATTGTTCTTTCTCCTTAACAATGTTTTTCTTTTTTCTTAATCTTTCACACTCAGTAACCCCTTTACTATCTTGCATGGAGTAAAATAATTTAAAAAAAAAAAAAAAAAATGAAGGTTAAAAGAAACCTGATTATCATTATTATTTGACAATGCATCACAATTCCTATATACTCACTGGAAGTTCTTTTTCATCTGCAACTTCTGTCATTGGTGTTAATTCAGTACAGCTATCTTCTTTTCCTGATTTTACAGATCGATTTGTTTTTTGGCCCATAACAGGTGAAGTTTTTGGTTCTTTTTCTGCTGATTTATCTAACTGAAAAAGAAAGAATTTTCTTATAGTATTTTGCAAAATGTTTCTCTCATTAGAATTTCATGTAATGTTATACTCATTGATGCACACAGATTATTTTTGCTGTCTATTGTTTGTCTATATTTTTTAAATGAGGTATTGTAACTATTTACACTGTTTACATTGTTCAGACTGTTGTCCTCATCTTTATTGCCATATTCACGACGTTTAGGATGTTGTACACTCCAACACTCCGAAAATTCAGGAATATGGCAATAAAGATGAGCACAACAGTCAGATTAATGTAAATTGTCTATTGTTGTTAACGATAATTGGATGTGTGAGTGGTGTAATGGATAACAGCTCAGAATGAGAAATTGGAGAGCCGAGTCTGAATTCCAGTCAGGTTCATTAAATTCACTTTCATGCAAATACCCTTGGGAAAAGTATGAATCAATCTCCTCTCCCAGCTATGTTTTAAATAGTGGGATTTGTATCTTGAAAAATTATTGTTATTCTCAAAAAAATGTTAATGCAATGTTCATTTGCAAAAAAATTTATTCCTACAATCCCAAATATGTTTCAGCTTTAAATAATACACAAAAAGGTTGATAAGCTGTAACAAACAAATCAGTTAATATTAATGATAATAATATTTGAAATGCAGAGTGTAATACATTCAGTAATATAGCTTGATCAAAGTTGGTCATGGTTAGCCAAATCAAAGTAAACAGCTCTCATATTCAACAACATGAATGAGAACACTATATGCCTTTGAACTCATAAAGTACAATTGCCAAAGCTCATAGCCAAATAATTATGCTATGTGCTGATATGGATTGTGCAAGCGAATGCATATATAAAACGATGAGTATGCATTCTTCACAGTATTCATGCTCAGTTTATCCCTGCTTTTTGAATACCCAGTACTTTATGAGTGCCATGTAAAGGACTACAACCACTTTTGTTTTTTGGGGGTTTTTTTAAGGTTTAACCTGTACAAAGCCCAGGAGCCACTTGAGGTAGAGGGCTACATTAAGGGGTAATTTATACAGTTAAGAGAGGAAGATAACAACTAACTCTAGACTTGAACAGGTTAAGACAGTAGTGATCTGAGAATTATGCTCTTGAGAGTCTGTTCCACAGAACAGTGGTTTGTGGGAAGGAGCTGTTCGAGTGGAACTTACTTTTCACCGATCAAATACAGAGGGAATGCGGATTTTTTGCTACAATGTAAGTTGCATGGTGGGTCCTAGCCGTGAAGGTTAGACATAACGGAACCAAGAAATGTAGTTCATCCAACTACTTTCCATGGAAGTAGTGATAGAGCAGTGAGAGGCTCACCACATCCCACCTGTGAGAGAGAGGGTGGAGGGTGGAAAATATTTCATCACCCACAAGAACTGGGAGACACTTTTAAACCCTATTAAGACTGTAAAGTGAAGACTGCCCAAAGACAATTTAAAATAAAGACACGTCTTATATTTAAGCCATATGATATGAAAGAAGTAAATTTGGCCTCTTGTTTAATGTAGATGATTTGAAATAAGTAAACCTGTCCACTTGTTTAACATACATGATTTGAAATAAGGAAATCTTGTCTCTTGTTTTACCCTGATGATTTCAAATGAGGAAATATGGCGACTTGTTTGACCAAGACAATTTGAAATGAGGAAACCTGGTCTTTTTTCTGACTCAATTTTAAATAAGTAAATCTTCTCTCTTGTTTGACCATATTGATTTACAAGAAGGATTCTCTCTCTCTCTTCATTCTATGCGAGATTAGGTTCTCAACTACAGAACAGCAAATTGTATTTTGTACTACAACCAATTTGTATATTATATTATAGGAATTAAATCCTATATATATTTTTCAACAAATAAAGTCTCATTAGAAAGTTTGTTTGATAACCAATCATTACTATGACAAATACCATGAAAATACTTGGCAGACATAATTGTAAAACTACCACATGTTATTTTTGGACCATTTAGAAAATAATAACTCCCTTCATAACTCCCACAAAGTCACAAATTCAAGAAAAAGAGTTTTGTGAGCCAGAATGAAATTATCTTCTAACTAATGAAAACCTTGTATTGAAAAATGTCACACATCCATGTGAAATTAGATTTTGCTTTTCCTTACGGATATAAAAATAGAAGCATAACTGTAGAGACACAAAATTCTCAATGTGTCTTGGGGATGTCCATTTTATTTTTCTAGTTCAGAAGTAAGTTAGGGTAAGTAATAATAAGAATGGTTATAATGGTCAAATTCAAGTCAACTTTAAGTTGAGTTGGAATAACCAACATAAAAGTTTGTGCTTTCATGGATGGAGCTTCAAAAAAACATGAAAAGTGGAAAGAGAGTGATCCTATTCTTTCCAGAAGTGGTGTCATAAAATTGCACAGGTGACCAAAAATCCTTTCCAGTTTGTTTTTGTTTTTTTTCTTTACAGTAAGGTTGACCCTGTACAAGGCCTGGGGGCCACTTATGATAGTGGGTTCCTTATTACTAGAATCATGAGAAAATGTATTTATTTACTTGTATTTTTTATTCCTTAATATTTTATTCATTGATTTCATTTCATTTTCCCACAAACACTTTGATTGTTTTGTTTTGTTTATGTTTGAATTATCACAAACCTACTGAAAAAAAAAAAATGAGAATGTATTTATACCTTTTTATATTTTATTATTTCCCTAATTCTTCTTCAAAAGCCTTGGGTATTGTCTAATGGTATAAACCTGGTTATTTGGAAGAAGATACTTTAAAGTGCAGTGATAGGTTATTGTTTTCCATATATAAACACACTATTTAGGTAATATAACTGATAGCTATTCAGAAAGCATAAAAATTCCAACAAGTTATACCTTTTTGGGTGTTTTTTGTCCCTTTTTCTTTTCTTTCTCTTCTTCTTCTAGCTTCATTAGTTCCTCCTCTTGTTTGAGAGATTTCAGCGATCCTTGACGAATAAATTCTCCATCAGATGCAAATATACTTTCATATCTTGTTGGACTTTTGCTTTGGGCTGAAATACACAACACAGGAACAAATGTAAATATCCCCAATTATTACTTCAGTTTCAAACCATCACTATGAACAATATATAATAATAATTTGCCTTTCCACAAGAGCAAATATGACACAAAATTTAATGTTTGGTCATTGGCAAAAATTATTTGGTCCACATAAATACGAGGCTTACATACAAATGAATATAAATATAAAAGTGAACATAGAAGTCAACACTTAGAGGCGACAGTCTGTTTCCTGCTATATGCAATCGTCAGGCCACCGATTGCCTGACGATTGCATATAGCATGAAACAGACTGTCGCCTCTAAGTGTTGACTTCTATGTTCATTTTTATATTTACACACACTCTATCTCTGATATTGAGCACTTTATCCCATAAATATAGCACACCTTAAGACTATATTTCTTCATACAAATAAATATATAAAGGTTTATGTTATATTCCATTCTAATAGGAATATATACTTGAAAAACAAGGTGGATAAAATAAGTAAAGGTTTATTGTAAAAAACCAGTACAATAAAAATAAAGGTATCAGTTATGCACAAGGTCATTGCAAGTCAATCCAGTAGTGAGTGCTACTATTGGAAGGTCGGTAGTTCTCACGTAAGTCTGAGTCATACTCAACAGATCCCAGCTAATATATTTAGCTAACCCCCATGAGGGTTGCATGTGGCACAAGGCCGATTTAACGGGGGTTCTCTGAGCCTGTAGGCTTGGCCAAAAATATTCACTTTTTGGACCTGCATAAACAGGTTCAGGGTCAGTCTACCTCCCCGAATGAGACTCTGCCCTTTGGCGGAGCACTGCCCGGGTTCCTCTCTGCCCGAAGACAGAGAGTTCAACTGTTTAGCTGCAATAGATCACAGCTAGTCTCTGTAGTCCGTTTATTTACAGATACTTATAGGTAGTTACTACCTATAGTGTAGTCACTGATGGGGGTGACAGGTTATTCTATTACATCAGTTTACATACTGACTCTTTTAATGCAAGAACTTCTACCTCAGTGTTGAAATGAGGCACGATTTGTTTGTTCTGTCTTTTTTATGATTTATCAGCCTTTTGCAGGTTATTTAAAGTAAGAATATATTTTTAGAGTGTAAGAGCTTCTTGGAGATAATAGTGATTTACTGATACAAGTCCTACTAATTATGCTAAAGCTGCAGGTGATAAGAGGTTGATTCATACCTTTCCCAAGGGTATTTATGCATAAATGAATATAAAAACCCAATTGAAATTGTAACTCAGCTCTCTGATTTCCAATCCTGACCTCTTATCCATTACACTACCTGCAAGTGCAAGCTTACAGTGTCTGGTATTCCCAAGCAGTCACCAAACCTAGGTATTGACCAGCCTTGAAATTGCTTAACTGGACATCATACAAGGACTAGTGTTTCAAAATGATATGGCTGCAAGCCGATGAATAAAAGAATATATATATATATATATAAGTTGAGATCAAATACAGATCAAATATGGATTGAAATTCAGCAAAATGATACAATAAAGAACAAATAGAAAATGGCTTCCAGTTTTATTAAAGCTTTATCAGAGAATGAGATATAGAGAGAAAAAGAAAAAATAGATACTGGTATTTTTATTGTTGTGTTGTTTGAATTTCATTGGTTAATCAGGCTTCACAGATATTTGACTTGTTAAGTAGCATTAGTATAATTTATGTTATCCCAAACTCAAGGAGAGATGACACATCCTTTCAAAGCCCCCAAAAATTAAATGAAAAAAAAATGTAAATATTGCTTTATGTATGTAAATGACCCATTTGCTGTAGAATTAGTCATTTTTCACTGAAAGACAAATTACAGTCTTCTCCAACACTGTTATATGGTTTGGCCATAAACTTGTTTCTCTTATTTAACTTATTTCTATGCCTATATGGAGTCATACTGATATTTTGATATTATTATATTAATAAATATTATTATAATATAGAATATTTAAGCTCTGCCGACTTGAAGAACAAAATAGATATGTCCGATATTCTTCCTCTTTATCAAATGGTATGGTGTTCCACTACACCCACACAGAACAGATTCAGTGAAATTAATTTTGAAATTAACAAATGTCTATTATTCTTCCATGTTTAGAATATTGCTGTCACATATAGTTCAGTGCCCCTGCCATATAGCATGATAAAACCCAAAGAAGAATTAGCAATATTATTAGTCTTGATCTGACATCTTGGCCTCAGTCACTTTCTCACTGCTGTAAAGTTGTCTCCCTGTGCCTTTTCTATAAATACTTCCATGGCAATTGTTTGGATGAGCTCCTAGTCTCCACAGACAATTGTACATATGGGGACTAGTTAAGTCTTTCATAGAATGTGTTGTTGTGGTGTAAGGAATATTGTTTTATGTTTGGGTCAGTGTTTGCGGCTAGCTAAGTTTAACATTAAGACAGAAGAAAACCATCCTTTTCCCCATTTTGGCCTTGTGCAACATATCTGTACATAGCAGAATAAATATCGCTTTTTGCCAGGGTACCTATACTTCATGAATTTAAGCACAGTACTAGACTAGCGATGAATTTTCACCAATATACAGTCAAGTCAGCTAGATGTAACTGTAAGTTCTATGTTAACAGTTTTTCTCACACTTTTTGTTTGTGGAACTCCTTTCTGGCTCCATGCTTTCCAGCCAACTTTAATCTTTAAAAATTTAAATGCAATGTCAATCACTATCTACAGTCCTGATTAATCTTCTTTTTTTCTTGCTTCATGGTAAAGTTTCTGTTTTCTAATTCTTGCACATCCAGTAATTCCTTGTGTCTTAGTGGCTTTACTCCCTTACTTGGGGTGAAATCGATTATATAAAAAAAAAAAAAAAAAAAACCAAGGGTAAAAGCAAAAATCTTTTTCTGGAGCCAGTGATAGTCTATAAGCAACCAGAAAAATTTAATCTGGTTGAGATCTCTTTCAACTCCCACACAGAACCTTTCAGACTGGTTCCCATAATTTTGACACCAATTCTGTCACCATATAAACTCTTTCTCCACCTTCTTCAGTGCTTTGTTCAAATTTGTAATTAACATTTATCATTATTTTAAGTGAGCTCTTTTACAAAAAAGAATTTATTATTTAAACTTTAAAAAAGTTGTTGCACAAATATTTTATGTTACTGTTTAAATATGGACTAAAATTGATTGTTATAAATGTTTTCTAAAAAAGAATAAATCTTGTTTCAAAATTATTCTTGTACTTTTATTCATTTGTGCCCCACTTTATCTCTATTATCAGTAGTCATGCGACACAAGATCTTGTGATCTTCCTTCCTCCTATCGTGGCATGTTAAAATGAACAGTTGGTTTACCCATGCCAAGAAGATTAATGAAGGATAGTAATGATGAGGAAACACAAACAAAACACAAGAATTCATTGATGAATTTACATGCTTGATGTTGTGTCAGTAACTCATTTCAGGAAAATAAACAGAAATTTTTGAAAGTCCATAGTTTTAACGAATTGTCATGAAAAGGAAATGTTCATACAACAGATGAAATAATCTAACACAAAATGATATTCAAAAATGTTTAAAACAAAGGTAAGAAAGTTTGTTGCTCACATAAAGGATATGCAGTTTACATATCTTCAAAAGTAGATGAAGAGAGTTTGAAATACTTGGATTGTTGAGAGAAAATTCTTTGAAGTGCTAAGTGCATGGTTAAGGCTGATATATAATTGGCACTGGTGAAAATCTAAATGCTGGATGCATGAACAAAAACTAAACATTTCACATGACTTCAGACACTCTTCTCGTGTTATGGTAATTTTTTTCCTCATTTTATACCAAAGAGGATTTTGCATAGGCTTGCTATCTTCTTTTCTTTCTTTTTCTTGGATCAACTGATAATTTCTGTGAAGACAAGGTTTTCATTGGTCCAATCTTTTCTCAGCTCACTGGTCAATCTCTGTGAAGGCAAGGTTTTCCAAAGAAAATTTCACATAGGCTCATAAATTTCTTTCCGTCTTTTCCCTCAGCTCACCCAAATTTGAAGGAAGTGGGTAAAGGGAGTTATTACTATTTCATACTCACTACAGAACAACCCTTCTGCTGCTGTGTTTAACCTTTGAGCCTAAACAGGCTTAAAGATATGAGTAACAAACTAACATAAGTCCAATATTAAAGACGGCATACAACTGACTGAACTCACCCCATGTAAAACTAAATGGAATTGCATGACTTATGAATTATTTTAATACAAGAGATTTACATTATGTTTCTGTAGTAGATAAGTTTGCCTATCACTTGATTCACACTCCTCCCCAGCTTTTGAACAGGAGTAGAGATTTATCACTTGTTTTCTGTTTTATTGACCAATCTTGTTTCTGTTTAATGGATAAAAATTTGGTTCTTTCTGCTATGACAAGTTTCTTTTTAGGTCATAAATTTCTTTTTATCATTTTTGAAATTTCGACAAAAGTCAAATTCTTTAATTCTTTGGTGTATGCCATAACAGAAATTTTCATTATAGCTTCACACCTGCTGAATCTAGAAAGAGGTCAGTTATTTCATTTTCTCCTCCTCTTGCATTGCTGTCTTTTAGTTTTTTAGCCTTAGCCTGGGCTGCAAATCACCAGATCCAAGACTGGTTCATCTCGGCAACTTAAACATCCTATCAGCGACACCGTATTGTTGTATAGTGTTGTTCTACAACACATGATCATGAAAAGAAAAATACACATTATTGATTTTAATGTCAACACGTGTCTTAAAGTCTTATTATTGTTATCATTGTATGTTTTATTCATTACATTTTCAGTAAAAAAAAAAAGAAGTTACATCAACTAGCCAACCATCCACCCCATTACAACTGTCAACAAAACAATGTATATTAACCACTAAACAGACTCAATTATCACTCTACCTCGTGCAGCCTTCTTGTTGGGGGTTTTCTTCCCATCTTTGGGAGCCTTTTCAGCCAACTGTTCTGTGAGTGCTGCTTCAGCTATGGCCATTTCCTGTTCCTTCATCTTTTGAACTCGCAAACTGTTTAAAAGTGCATCATATTTCTTCTCTTCTTCATGAATCCAGTCTTGAATATTGGCAGCAACATGCAGCATATAATTTCTGACCATGAACAAAAAGAAGGCATTGAAAAAATAAAGATGCGAAAAAGTGATTTTTAAAGTTTAATGATTTTAAGATAAACTCTGGATTTTTTTGTTATTTTTGCAATATTTTTCTTAACAGCATTATCCATAATTAAGGTTATTTTTTTTATTCTTTTTCTAAAAAATAAACAAAGTTCAGCCAATCATGGAAACATGTTTAAAAAAAAAAACAAATTAATGTCATGACAGGAATCATTATTTAGCTTAAACAGTTGTTGATTCAGAAACAAATCTAATCTTTAAGAATAAGTACAGAAAATAATTGTCTAAATACTTAAACAGACAATTATACTAAGATTTCCTTCCTTTTATTATATATATTTAGTAACAAATAAAGTTAAATGTTCATTTATCTGACCCTACTATGAGTTTCAATCAAATTACATCCATTTGTGCTGATAGTAAAAATATTTTACTATCAAGTCCCTTGATGAGTAGATACAATCTCTGCAAAACCAAGTCATTGGCCTAAAGAAATGTGCTCCTAAACTCGCTCCAATTCTCTCCAAACTCTACAATTATTACCTCACTGCTTCTTGCTTTCCAGCTTGTTTCAGCTCTGTAGTATTCAAGGCTTTAATAAATACTGAAGTGGTTATGCATCTTACCTCTCATGACCTAATCTCTAACAAACAATATGGCTTCCATTTTACCCAGTCCACACTAATGTGATTACAGCCATCACTGAATATATATATCAAGCTCTTGATAATAACAGCAAGGCTTGAGCTGTGGCTCTAGATATCTCAAAAGCAGCTGACAGGGTTTGACATGCTGGTCTTCTATGTAAGCTTCAGGGCTACAGTATTACAGGATGATTGTTTAATTTAATCTAATCATTCCTTTCAAATCATAAAATGAAGTTCATTCTGAACAGGCTTGCTTCCAGATCCTTTCACACAAACATAGGTGCCCCCACCAGGCTCTATCCTGGGTCCTACACTGTTTATGATCTTTCTGATGTCAACAGGCATTTGCAGATGACATACCATTTACTCCTGTCTTAATAGCAAATCCATAGTTGGCCCCTGGCCACTCTTGAAAAGCTTCTTTCTTCCACACTTCCTGACAGTGGGTTTCTTAAGTTTAATTCAATCCTGGTTAACTGGGGCAGGAAAAAAGGTCCTACACTGTTTATGTAAATTTTAATCTTTCAAAATGACATCAGTTCCCAAGTATAGAGCATTTTGCAGTAAGGATGACACTACTCCCAAAAGGTTTTTTCTTCATCAGAGTTCATCTTGAATCAATAGCTGCATTTACAAATCTACCAAAAATCAGCCATTTGCAAAATTACCAAAATGCTGTTACCATATCTGGTCTGGTGCTCCTGCTATTCATCTCGAGGTTCTTGACGAAATCTAAAAAAGATCTGCAATGTAATCAATCTTGACTTCAGTCACTTTCTCAGACATGATGTGACTTCCCTCTGTTTTTTCTCAAATATTATCATGGCAACTGCTCTGATGAGCATTTTCCCTGTTGCTTCAACTACATGAATTTAAATGAGCTACTAGATTGGCATCTAAGTCCCACCATTTTACTGTTGAAATAGCTAAATATAACCACCAGCTTCTTTCTTCACACTTCCTGACAGTGGAACTACCTTCCATTTACTTACTTCCCTGAGAACTACAATCTTCAAAAATTTAAATGCAACGTCAATCATCATGTTCTGTCATCTTAAACCCTAGTCATCTCTTATCTTTTCCTCAACTACCCTATACCCAGTTTTTTCTCTCACTTTCACTCTCTGTAACCCCCTGTGTACTAGTAGTATTCATACCTTCCTTTAGGTGAATTGATTAAAAATAAATCAGAGTAGAACCAGATAAGTGAACATTTAATTTTATTTATTTATCTTTTAATATGGAGCACTTCAATTACAGTTTCTGCCTACTTTAAAAATGTTATCTTTCAGAAATACCCTGGTTTCATTTTTTTTTTTTGTTTTTTTAATGAAAAACAATTTTTGTTATTGTTATCCATTTTATATACAATTTGTTACATTATTTTGTAAGATGTATCTAAGTCTGACATTCAACCTTCTAAATAAGTAAAAGCTAAAAGAAGCAGGGAGGTTATTTAGCATAATGTTAACCAGTTATATGCTCATTCAGCTTCTTACATAAAATTTTATAGTTGATAAAAGACCTCTTTAAAAAACTGGTAAATGACCATTTGAAAAAATGTTAAATAAAGAGCATCCATATAAGATGTTGACACTATCAACTTATTAATGTAAGATGTTAATAATAATAATAATAATTAAACACCTGCACATCCATATAAGATGTTAATAATACTAACCAAACATTAATACAAAGCAATATTAAATCAAAATGAATCTTACAAGTAAGTAAGCGATATAAAGTGTACCACAGTCCATTTGGTGATTATTACTATAAGAAAAAGTGTTATCAAATTCAAATCATACTGTAAGGTAGAAGTTTTTAAGAATTTTTATGCTACACAATTTACAGTTAATCCACTTATTTGGTTTAATAAGGAGTTTTTATCATATATATATATATATATATATATATATATATATATATAAACATAGGTAAGATAAGAACAAATTTGTAACATTCAATTTAAAAGAGGGCACAATACACAGTAGACCAATATTATTTATTTTAGGATTTTAAATGGAAAACATGTCAAAATAGCTACACAATTCTGTATCAATACATCTCATCAGGCAATTATAAATTACTGGCAAGTGAATGATTTATTTAGATTTAAAAGCAAAATACAACCTCTTTTTACAAAAAAGTGTGGTATAAGGTTTGTGGGCTTTACTCAGACCAACCAATCAAATATGACCTACGTTAAATTTAAACTAAGCTAAGAATCAAAAACTAAGAAATTATTTTTCATAAATGGTCATGACTGTGGATGAATTCTCTCTCTCTCTATATATATATATATATATATATATATATATATATATATATAATTGACTTTCCCGTCGGTTTTGACGTATGAGGATCTGACAGCTTATTGATTCAGTTACAAAAGTTTGTGTGATAATCTTAAGTGGCATTTAAGACCCGCTAGTTATTTACAAAGAAGGCCACATATGGAGCAAATATGAGGATTGTGAAATGAGATCACTGTTAGATTGGCTGACCTTTTAGATCTTGCTCTCGCTTCTTGAAGATGATTCAGACAAGCAGATTGAAAATTGCCGAGTCCACTAAAACACGTTGATCTCCATTCTACCTGCTCCAAAGCTAAGCACTCAAGAGTGTTATATGGTATATTGACTGCTGACAAGTTGATTTTCAGCTTGTCTTTGTATCTTAGCTATGGGCGTCCTACATTCCTGTAGCCCTGATCTAACTGGCTGTACATTAGGATTTTGGGTATCCTGTCATCAGACATTCTCAAGACATGACCAGTCCACTGTAACTGAGACTGTATGATAAAAGTCTTGATTCCTCCAATATTACACCTGTTAAACAGGTCTACATTAGATGTCCTATCTTGAAGCTTAACTCCACAGATTGCACGCAGACAGCTTTTATGTAAAACCTCTAGCTGGCGTATATGGTACCTGTATGGAGTCCATGACTCTGAGCCATAAAAAAGGATGGCAAGTACAACAGCTTTGTAAACCCAAATACCCTACTCATTCCACAAGCAATGGCGAAATTTGCCGAAAGCACTGGTAGAAATCCGATGCATGATTTCATCATCTAAAGTTCCACTATAAATACACACACATATTTTATATATATATATATATATGTGTGTGTATATGTATATACACACACATATATATATATATATAAATGTTTCTATGGTTTTGGTTTTTATTAAACATCATATCAACATCAAATAAAAGCATCTGATCATTCATATCACATTTATTGAAAGGACTGACCTGAATCCCACATTTGAATGCAACTGAATACTCCAGCTTTCTTTATTCCAGTGTTCAACATTGCAAGGATTGTAAAGCATGATGTAGAAACAATTACTACGATGATGATAATATTTCTCACAGTATGGCAAAGTGTATAAAGCATCACGTAAAACCTACAAGTAAAAAAATATATGAACTCAAAATAACAAATCTCTCTTATTTTGATCAAACAATTAGCTATAAAATTTTTATTATACATTCAATTTCAAAACAAAAATGCTCCCTATTAATCATCTGAAATAAATCTTTCTGCCTCCCATCAATATGGCTGGTGCTAATTTTCAGGAGAGTAGGCTCATTGCATCATCTCAGGCTAACATTTTCTACTGACATGAAGTGGAAAGATTAAAAATTAAGAAATGATAAAATCCAAAGAAGAATGTGCAATATTATTGGTCCTGATCTAACATTGTGGCATCAGTCAATTTCCAACTGCCATGATATAGCCTCCATGTGTCTTTTCAATAAATGTTTTCATGCTAATTGTTCTTATGAACCTAGACTTTATTCATTTAAGCACATTACTAGATTGGCAGCAAGGTTTCATTATTTTTCGGTTGAAAGCTATATACATAGATATAGAGCCCTGTCTACTGCTACTGTTATAGATTACCATTGACCTTACAGGGAGTTCACCTGCCCTTTGACCAGTCTTATTTTTAATCATGCTGGGTAGCTGACCACCTACTTCACCAGAAAAGTTTGGTAAGTGATGTAATGGAATAACCTGTCATCCCCATGAGTGACTAAACTATAGGTAGTAACTTCCTATAAGTATCTGTAAGTCAACGGACTACAGAGACTAGCTTGGATCTGTTGAGTACAACTCAGACTTACACGAGAACTACCAACCTTCCAATAGTAACACTCGTTACTGGATTGATTTGCGACGATCTTGTACATAACTGTTACCTTTATTCTTATTCTACTGGTTTTCTACAATAAACCATTATCCACCATGTTTGTCAAGTATATATTCCTATTAGAACAGAATATAACAGTAAGATAACCGATTTAGTCTTCGATGATCCAGCCATGTGGCATCTAGTACTGGGTTACACAATACCAGTAGCACTCAACAAGTGAACTGATATAATCAACATTCTCTTGACTTTTTAATCTCTTTAAAGAATTCTCTGAAATCATTTAGAATACTTTTTCATTTAAGAAATATTATAACACTGTTTATACTAAGTGTTTATACTAAGTATTTCCACATGGTGTTTTCATGGATGTCTATCTCAGGTGTTTGCTAATATTATCAACATTTAAAAAAAACAAAAACAAATAATAAGTAATGATGTTGCTTCTTTTTACCTGCTGAAAAATGTTTGAATCAAAATGCTCAACATAATTCCAATTTTTCAAATTTCTTTTTCTGCAACTCAAAATATCATTCATCAGTTTTGCAGCCTGTGCTCTGTTATTTTTTTCATCTTCTGTATTGCAAGTTTCTTCCAATTCACCTATAAATGTCAATAGAAGTGAATATAAAACTCAAATCAAATGCAAATTTTATCTTAAAATCCTTGTTCTAACATCATTGACATAGCATTCACAAAATTCTGTTTATATTTTCCAATAGTCATCAACATTTTTGGAACTAATGATGTGTAACACTATGATTGGAATATCCGCATAGAAAGGAGGGCTTTGAGAAATTGATACTCACAGGTCAAATAGAGGGAAAGAGAGACAAGGGAAAGCAGCACATGACATACCTAGTGGGCTTAGGCAAATGGATGACAGAACATAGCCTGGGAGACGTAGCAAAGAGACAAAACTTATTGAAAGCTACAATGAATAGGGAGAAGTGGAGAGCCATGTTCGCCTATGTACTGAAGGGACAGACACATAAAAAGAAAAAGACATAGAAAGGAATGGTGTGTGATTTTATCTTCGGTTTTAAGTGTTTTATCTTTTATGACCCACAATAAAATTTGTAAGATTGGGTTTTCAAAGTGGAGAGGGGAGGAGGCAGGAAGAATGGGTGGAATGAAGAGAGGTATGGGAAATGTGAGGGAAAGGGAAAGAGGGAGGGATAGTGGAAGCAAGAGGGAGAGAGAGTGGGGAGTAGATATATAGAGGAGGAAAAAGTGAGAATGAGGTGGAATGAAGAGATGGATGGGGAGAGTGAGTGAGGGAGAAGAGAGAGGAAAAGAGGGAGGGAGAGAACGATCATGGTGGAAAGAGAGATAGACAGCAGGAGGGAGAAGGAAAAAGAGAGAGAAAGGCAAAGAGGGAAAGAGAGGAAAGGAGCATGAGAAGAGTAAGAGAAGGCGAGAAGAAGAGAGAAAGAAAGACATTTCACATTTCATCCTTTATGACATCATCGAACTAAGTTTATGGTTATGCTGATGCGATTGCACATGAAGAAAAGGGGGGCACTGAGAATTTTAAATTTAAATTTTGGAAGTATATAATGTAGATTTAATTTAGATTCTTTTCGTTTATGTTTCCATCACTTTTGTTATTAAATATTATGATTTAATTTTCTTTTTCACAATAAAAGTACAGAAAAATGTTGGTGCAGTTGGTCCGTTAAAGCCAATTGTCTATAGATGGGAAGGAATTATTTTTGAATAAACCACTATATTAACTACTAGTAGTTATGATCATAATATAAATACTATATATGGCATAAATAAATATATACTGTACTGTATATATACAGCATACCATATATATATATATATATATATATATATATATATATATATATATATATACACATATATATATACTGTATATATTTATATACAGTATATATATTTATATATATATATATATATATATATATATATATATATAATATAAAAGGCTCAAACACTATATTCCATGGTTATAATTTATTACATTGAAATCGTAATCACAATCAATTCATCAGACCTACAAATTAATTTGTAATTTGTAGGTTTGATGAATTGTATCGTGATTACGATTCCAATGTAATAAATTATAACCATGGAATATTAGTGTTTGAGCCTTTTATTATAAATTATGTCCTGGACATTGAGCTCTACCTGGATTCTATCCATTGGGAATTGGATTATATATATATATATATATATATATATATATATATATATATATATATATATATATATATTGACCACTAATATTATCTACATTATATATATATATATATATATATAAAAGTGAACATAGAAGTCAACACTTAGAGGTAAGTCTGTTTCATGCTAGATGCAATCGTCAGGACACTATGTTCACTTTTATATTTACACACGCTCTATCTCTGATATTGAGCACTTTATCCCATAAATATAGCACATCTTTTGGCTTTGATTCGAAGAACTCACAAATGTCAGTTTTAACCTCTTCCTGTGTTACAAAAGCTGTTTCTTCCAAATGATTCTGTAAGCTATGAAACAAATGGTAGTCTGAAGGAGCAAGATCGGGAGAATAAGGTGGATGAGGAATTTTCTCCCAACCAAGTTCTTCAATCTTTTGTGACATGATTCTTGCTGTGTCGGATCGCCCATTCATTGTCCTGATGAAACATCACCTCTTTTCAATTCACTAGAGCAGGTCTTTTTTTCCTCAAAGCTTGGTTCAAATGTTCTAATTGCTGACAGTATATTTGAGCATTAATTGTTGCATTAGGTAGTAAGAATTCAAAGTGGATTATTCTTTGGTGATCCCACCAGATTGAAAGAAGAATCTTTTGCCCATGAAGTTCCCTTCTCGGCTGTGGTTGGGGTCCTTCCCCTTTACCAAGCCACTGTCTTCAATGCTTAACATTTCAATAAAAGATCCATTTTTTGTTACCAGTCACAAGTCTATCCAAAAAAGGTGAAACAAGTTAGTGAGAACGGAGAGAAGAACAGATGTCAACTCAGGATTTGAGGTTGTTTTCAGACAGTTCATGAGGCACCCATTTTCCAAGTTTAGGAACTTTTCCAAGTTGTTGAAGATGACAATGAACAGTTGTATTGTTTGAACTGAGAACCACAGCCAATTCCTCAACTGATAAAGCAGGATTTTCTTCAAGGGCTGCTTCAAGAAGCTTTTCATCAAACTCGACTGGACGTCTGGTTCAATCTTCATCTTCAAGGGTAAAATCTCCACCTCTGAATTTTGCAAACCATCTTCTGCAAGTTCTTTCATTCACACATTCCTCTCCATAAACTGAGTGAATGTTTCTAGCTGCTTCGGCTGCTGAGTTTCCTTTCTTGAACTCATAAAGCATTATGTGCCTCAAATGATTCTTGGGTGCTTCCATGTTAGCAGGGTTTTAATCAAACAAAATTTAATTTTATTGTTCTCTGAAATAAAAATTTGATCAGTTTAAATGCATCTAAACATAAAAATAATGTTCAGCTCCATTAGACATTATAAAATACTCTTTAAATTTCATTCATTTTAACAAAAAGTTAAAATTCGGACAGAACTTATGGGATGACTTGATATTAATCAAAATAACAAAAATAATAGATTTCTCACAGTTACTTTATACTGTACACCAGTCTTTGTTTTGCAATTGATAGGACCCCCCCCGCCACACACACACACTGCTGCCAAGCGGTCACTTGGAGAGCTAATACAACTTATTCCGCTAAGCCTGCAAATTTTGAAATACATCGCTGACAACTTGGAAGTTTTTTTTTCTGCAGATTTTTTTTAATTTGCCTGCAGATTTTATCCATTGCATCCAAAGTTCATTGATGGGGGGGTGGTCCATAGATGCAGGGTTTGTTTGTATATTGTTTCTTGTAAGAATTAAACAATTACTCTATGAATTCTAATATCACATCAGAGGATCAGCTTACTTGCATTTGTTGATGAGATGAACCTTGAACCACTTTGAACCTCATTAAAGTGTGAATAACTCCTACTACTTTTCTGATTTATAGAGCTGACCTTTAGTGAAGAATGGGTGTAATTAGATGCCTCAAACTCATCACAAGATTCTCGGAGAGATGAACAAGAAGCATCCTCTGCAAAAGAATAAATAAAAGAAGGTTGGAAAACGTTTTGACAGATTAAAAAATAAACAGTTCACTTTTCTCAACATTTTGAAGAAATTTAATTCTCTTTGAAAATGTTCTGACAGAGAAAATCAGAGTAGAAAAAAAAAAATTAGCTTTTTTTTTTTTTTTTTTTTTTTTTTTTTTTTTTAATATTGTTCCAAAGTCAGTACCGGGGAGAGAATTTCTAAGGCCTGGCACTCAAAATATTTTGAGGCCCCATGGTCAGAAAAGGAGATGCTGAGACAAACAAACGCGATCTAGCATGTCTTACAAGACTTTTTAAAGTGCATATCTTACTTAGCAACCCTTGCAATGGAGTGTGATTTGGCACAAGAATTAGACTTTGAGGAACTCATTGCACATTTTGCATCAATGAAAGTTTAAAAAATGCACTTTTAAGCTTCTTTGGAATTGGTTTTAGTCTTCATAAATTTTTCAATAAAATACTAATTCATAATTTTGCTCTCTACTTTTTGTAAAGAATCCTCCCTAAAACCCTAAAGGTATTTTCTTGAGGCCCCTCAGATTTCAAGGACCAGTACATTTGTGCTGGCTGTCCTTCCCTCTCACCACCACTGCTAAGAGTCATTTCAAGGTAGAGTGTTACTAAATTAAGTTTTTGTATGAAAATAAGATTTTAGAGTAGACATTAATGGATTAATAACAATGAAGCACCAATGGCTGACTTGAAGTTGATTTATTTTATCATGCAAATTACAAAGTGAAGATACCAAAATACAAACAAGCAATTTATATATGTGGGAAATGTTTTAACGGAGGATGGAAAATGTAACACTGAAATCCAAAGACACATTGGGATAGTGAAAGATGCTTTCCAAAAGCTAACCAGGAATTTTGAGTTTGAAGAGATGGCTACATTTAACCGTTTTGACAGTTAAAGATGCCAGCCTAGTAGCTCACTTAAATTCATGTGGCTCGTTGGAACTATTGCCGCAAAAATACTTGTAGAAGAGACAGAGGGAAGCCACAGCATGTCTTTGGATAGCAATTATAGACTAGATGCAAGATCAAGACCTATCATATTACATTTTCATCTCTGGATTTTGTCAAGGACCTCGAGACGTACACTGGGAATACCAAACCATAAATGACAGCAATATTCCATGCAAGGACAGATGGTTGATTTATAAATTTGAAGGGTGGACTCAGATGAGAAAAACTTTCTGGCACAACACAGAGAACCAACTTTCCTTACAGTAGATGATGCTATTGATTCAATGTATATATTCCACCTCATGTCAGTGGACAGCGTCAGACAAAGCAAGCATAACGAGATGCTCTCGAGGAGTTGGGAATCAGCCATTCTGATGGGAGGCAGGGAGGGTTCTCTGTGTTGAGTAAAGGAGAATCTACAAAACTTGGGTTTATACTACAGACCATTTATTCTCTTTTTATAATGGAAACTGTAGAGAAATAAAATTCTCACTGTCTCTTGTATTATGTTCGTTTTCTTTTTCTAGCTCAGTAGTAAGTTCAGGTAAGTCATGATAAGCATGATTATAATAGTCAAGTTCAAGTCAACTTTGCACCGAGTTGGAACGACCAAAAAAAAATGTTGATTTACTTCATAGGTAGAGCTTTTGGAAGACATGTGAACACTATGCATTGGAAAGTGGAAAGAGAGCTCAGTTGTCAGTGAACCAGGGAAAGAAACATGCTTCAGTGGCGACATCCTCATCTATGTGCTAATACTACTTGGAGCAAGAGGCAGAGAAGCGGTAGGAAATGTTTATTCTTTTTATAGACTTAAACAGCACCACCTAATGGACATTAGACAAAGCCAAGTGTGGTAATAAAATTTCCGGTTCCTTTATTACTAGCATTATGAGAAAATGCATTTCTTTTTTGCTTTTTTTTATTCATCATTATTATTTTATTTATTGATTTTATTTAATTTTCCCACAAAATGTTCATTATTGGAAGAGGAAATGAAAAAGAATTGAAAAGATTATGAATTTTTGCACAAAATAACAACACCTATAAAATTATGATACATTTATTTTGTAAAAAAATATGTAATTATTTTTTTTCACAAAATAAAACCCTCATTATTTTAATCATATTATTTTATACAGCAAGTCACATTTTTTTCATTTTTTATCTTTTAATGTTGATATGATTTTGTCACAAAAATAAAAATTTAGTCATTATCTCCAAAACAAGTACAAATAAAATTTATTCTTTAAGTTGAATCATATTAATGCCATTGTCCACACACAAAAATCTTGCTACATTTTTGTTGTGTTTCAATAACAAAAAAACACATCCATAAACATATCACTATAACAAGTAATATAAAAGAAATCAAATTGACATTTATATCAATATCTAGCTCTAAAGATTTTAAAGGAATTAAAATGAATGTTAGATGCACCTGATAAAATATTGTTTTGCCGTATGACTGGCTTGATCAACTGTTTCTGTTCAAGCAAACTGTATGGATAATCCCAGGCAATGACAGAAGTTGGTGTCGCTGGCTCCAAGGTCCCTTCAGCATTCACACTGGCAAGCGACATACATTCCAGTACATTTTGACATAATACTTTATCCACAACTGAAACAAAGATAAAACATATGCACATTTTTTTCAGGAATTACAATTCAAAATAATTTAAAGAAAACTTCACTATTGAACATATTAAAACAGGGTCTTGCTCAATAAACTGAATGACAGCACTTCACCAGAAAAATGTTCACTGAGGAAAATTTCAGTAAACTCAAATAATGACTAATGGTTAAATCCACTTTGGAAGGAAGGAAGCCAAGCGACTGCTACTGTTTAGATCACATCCATTAAGCTGAGAAGCAGGAGTCTATTTTTATCTTAGAAATTTGTTAGCTAAGTATGGTGAGTTCAATCCTAGGTAGGACCACAAGCATCAGCATAGTTAACAAAACAATCAAACTTTTTCTAAGGAAACTGTTTGCGGGTATAGTGATGACAAGATGTAATTTTTCTAGCAAAATATAGTTTCTTTTTCTAATAATTAAAAACTTCCTTTTGGGTCAATATGAAATCTGATACCTGGTAGAATACTTCAGGAAAAGAATAATACTTCTTAGTTTCAGTCCTATAGACTCCCCTGTGGAGTATTCAGGCTACAGCCTCAGAATATCTGGTGTCACTGCTGTGGTTTCTGTAGTAAGTGTGTTTTTTATGGCATGAAGCTGCTAGCTCCATGCCCAGACAGTTTTTAATTCAAAATTATCCACAATGCATTCAAATTTGCATCTCCCCTTGTACTGTGTCAATGCAAATATAACATCTTACACAACAGTCCTGAAATCATCTTGGATATGACAATAAACTACATCCAACAGCAAGCCCTCTGATCAGTAGATGGGAAGTTTTGAAGTGCTTGTGACCACCTCTTAATTGCTATTGTTCCCAGGTCCACCCTGATCAGGGGTGGTAGCACATGTTAGGGTCCCAGCTATGAGCAAATAGTAAACCCCCAAATTGGGGTCAAAATACGATGAAAGTATAAAAATTCATTTTTATCATAAAAATTTCAGCAATAGATTTTAATAGTAAAACAAATTTCAGCAATAGATTTTAATAGTAAAAAAAAATTACCAAAGCTCCCAAGAAAACTAAATTTTGGCATTAAATGACCCATAAGTTGATATGCTGTTAAACAAACCAAACAACAGCCCTGGAAGATCACAGATACTATTTCTGAAAGTGCATTGTTGAAAACTTACTGCTTCTTAGCAAAAATTAAGCAAATTGTTTTTTTTTTTTTTTTCACCTATCTGGCTCATTTTATGTGTATTCAAAATTAATAAGAGAATAAAACTTATATTTTAATAGATTAATGATTTAATTAAGCTTAAAAATGTTAGTAAGCCACATCCATGTTTTCATCTTTTTTATTTGATCTTTTTTACAGGCACGTTCATTCTCAGTTTTAACATTTTCTCTGTTTAAAGGTTTTTTGAGCAATTCTTTTAATCTTAAAGAATGGGCTGAAAGTAATTTATACAGTTGAATGATTTTTAATTACATATTTATATGAAATTATTTAAAAAGAAATCAAAATATAAAGATTGAAACTATTTAAACAAGTGAATTTTGCAGTCAAAGACAAAAAGATTTTTATAATTGAGTAAGATTGTAAGCACAACTAATATAGTTAATAAAATATGGTTTTGTAAATATATATATCATAGTAATATTATTAATACAATAATATCAAAATCTGTTTCTCTTGAAACATCAATTTATTTTATATTTTAAACTTTTAGTTTATTTAAGCGTTAGCTTATATTCTTACTATTTGTGGAAATATATATATACAAGATTTTCAGTAAAAGTGTTCAATAATAAATAAAGCTTAGGACATACACTGGTTATATGAAATACCAATTTAAACAGTGATACTATAATCACATGATACCTGGGAAGCTTGGTAAGTATCATAACAGTACTACCCTGTCTATATACATTTGGGAAGTTAAGGAGGCAAAGAATTTGAGCCTGAATATAAAATGGAATATAATGCAAAAAAGTATAAGTTACACTGGAGGAATGAAAATTTTTAGATTTTTCTAGGAATTGAGAACAGCATTTAAATTAAAGATCAGATATACTTTCAGGATGTGTACACACCAAAAAGTATCTATTGGCTAATATGTTACCAGAAAAAGCCAACATCCAGGTTCATAAAAAAATTGTTTTCCACAGTATTTAAATATGAAAGTTTAAGACGCCATTTAAAATAAAAAGAATATGCCAATCTGGCTTGAAGATACCTGTTTCCATAGTAAAACTTAATTAGCTACAGTAATTATATTCAGATCTTCACAATGTGATTAGTGAACTGGCATTTCTGAATCATTAAAGAAATGACAAGTAGTAATATTAGAAGATATATATAATTAATGTTCAAATTTTTTATCAAAGTTTTTCACTTCATTAAAAATACAATTCATTGTAAAGTACTACATAAAATATTCAAAATAAAGTACGAGTTACCTGTGGGTATATTTGTTTTGTTTTGCATTAAATCATGTATAATAAGAATAGGACAGAAATAATGATAGATATTACAGTTCAATTTTCTTTAGTAAACTGCACAAGTGCAATATTTCAGTTTCTAATATTTTACACTAAATTCAGAAAATATAAAACCTTTTTCTCTTATTATTTACTATGAAGCTATATTAATGACATTTCCCATTTAAGGGCTTTTCTTTAAGAGCATTATTCCTTTAATCAAAGGAGTCAAGCCTTGGATAAAAATCTTTAACTCTAATGTTGGCTTGTTAAATCAATTGGAGTTGAACTGACATTTCTTTTGGCAGAGAAAATTTGGGAAATTTACAAGGAGTGAATCATAAAAGTGTTTTAAATTCACATATGCAGATATGAATGGGCATGCACATGCACACACAGACATACAAAGATATGAAGAGACTAATATAGATAGATGTGAACAGGCTAAGATAGATAGATAAGTATATAGATATAAAGAAACTAATACAGATAGATAGCTATGAACAGATTAATATAGCTAGATAGATATGAACAGACTAATATTGATAGATAGATAGATAGATAGATAGATAGATAGATAGATAGATAGATAGATAGATAGATAGATAGATAGATAGATAGATAGATAGGACTTATGCCATTGAGCATTGGTCAATAAACCATGTCTAGTCAGTTTGATATCCACAGGATACTCCACATAATATGACAGATTCTCTTGTCATTAATGACAAATGAATGTCTGATAAAAAGATTTTTTCACTTAAGAAATTGTGCCTATGAAACTTTGAAGAGATAGGAATGTTTCATTTCATGGTGCATGAGGCCTGCCTTACAGTATGCAATGAATCCACATAGACATATGAAATCTGCTCTCAGAGGGTGGTTCTACTTAAGATTAGCCTAAAATTCATCACAATACTATTGCTTTATCTTTTCAAAAAATTTCTCTTTTAGGTAATAAATGCTTTGACTGAGATTTGTCTTCAGGACTCTACTGGTAAAGCCAAGTTTCATCACCAGACACAAAACACCTCAGTAAGCCTTCTTGGCTTTGAGCCCATTTATTTAAAATTTCCATTGAATTCTCTGCTCTTGTCTCTTATTGATCAAGGTGTAACAACAGTTTTGGTACCCAAAATTTGCTCAACTATAATTCTTCAGATAAAATTTTTGTGGGTTTAACTGACTGAAATCTGTTGTATGTTAGCTATTATTTCTGCTGTTTGCTGTTTGTCACCATCAATTAAATTTTAAACAATAGTGATTTTTCCTCACAAATTGATGTTGGTGGCATGCCAAACCATTCATAAAATTCAATTCCTTCATCGTTTTTGAAATGAGATATCTATCTGTAATTGTTGACTTTTTCAAAAAATTATCTCCATAAACCCTTCTCAAAACACTAATAACATCCTCAGTCTTATAAATAAGTTTTATTATAAATGTGCGACATTAGTTCTTGCTTCAATTTTGACAGGATTAAGGCTACACTAAAGAGGTCTGTTTTTAAACTGGCATAAACTTCAATCTATTACCCCAAATTACTTCTAGTTCATACAGGTTATAACACGTAAGTATGAGTTTACTTTGCTGCAAACAAATATTAAAATATTTGCATAGTTTTCTTAATGTGTTTTTTTACAACCAATTTGAATGCTCCACTATACATTACAGAAACTGTCATCATTTTGTTTAAGTTCAAACAATTACAGTCACTTGATATTCTTGAAAACATAAAACTAACAGTAATAAGCATTTCTCTCTGGCACATGTGTGTGCATGTGTGTGATTGTGTGACTGTGTGCATGAATGTGAGTGCATGTTCTTACCTGTCATTGGAAGATCTTTTTTTGAGCAAAAATACAGAAATTCCTGAGTTCGAGCAGACAAAGATTTTTTCTCCGAGTCTGACACTTCTGGGAAAAGAAGCTTGTTATGGAGAGCATATTCTTGCAGCATTTTCATTTCCACTTCCTCTGGATCAAAATCATGAATTGGAACCAAATGATGGAACTTTTTTGTAATTGCATCATACTGGTTAAGCATCTGCAGTTTCTTTTTCTGAAAGACTTTTTCTTCAGGGAGCATATGAGCCACAGACTATAATAAACACACAAAAAGATAGAAATCAAAATACAATATATCAATAGTCTTATATTTATTCTTACTATTGTCAGAATACCATATTGTTAAATCAAATAATAGTTGTATATGAATTGCATATATGAGAAAAATTATTATGGTTTTATTGATGGATTCTTTTCTAAAACTGATAGAAAAACTTGGATTTTAATAAACTGTGCTTGACACATATTTTTATATGTAGAATCAAATGTATAAATTTAATAAAGATAAAAAAATATTTTAATAGCATGTGCAGCTATATCTACATAATGTTTTTACCTAAAACCTTTTCTTGTTCTAAACAGATATAACAGATTATGATATTTATGAAGGGTGCTGAAAAGTTATCAACCCAACCAAAAAGCCTTAAAAAAGAAAATTCTGATTATTTCCAGAGTCTGTCTATATTTCTGAGATGAGGTACTATGTACATTATTTACATTATTCGGACTAATTGTCCTCATCTTTGTCACTATATTTATCACAATGTTTCAGCTGTTGTATGCTCCAGCCTTCTTCAGGTGGTTGGAATGTCAAACTGAACCCTTTATTTCGCTCACTGGGGTAGACTGTTCTAGTTCCACATGGCATGTTTGATGGATGTCAGTTATCAGTTATCTCCTGTTAATTTCCCTCTGAAAGTTCTCCACTGCCTTAACCGGGTATTGAACTCACACTCTTTGGGTCCTGTCACTGGATCTAACCAATGCCTTTATCCACTGTGCCATGTGTCCTTGAGAACATCTGGGTATGAATTTCTGGGTAAATTCAAAAATTCATACCCCTAAACCCCCACAATACTATAAACCAATGCTTTAATCCTCAAGGCTATTGTCTGTGAATGCCATGATAGTGCTTGGTAAAGATGGTGGAGTGTTTAACTATTATTGATTGATTCATTCATTTTTTTTTACAGCTAATCAACCCTTTGCAGGTTATTTAAAATCAGAAAATATTTTTAGATTCTAAGAATTTTGGGGGAAATAATGATAGCTTAATGATTCAAGTTTTACTAATTAACCCATAATTGAGGGAGGAAAGAGGTGACCTTTCCCAAGGGTATTTGCATGTAAGTGGGATAGACTTTTCTCATTCCACTGACCATGTCCAGTGATATCACATCTTTTTAGTACTGATCAGTTATTGCTAGTCCTGCTTCCAATTAATCTTTACTACCTATCCCAGGGATTGAACTCACAATTACTATACCACCAAATTCATGAATCAATTCTTTAATCCTCAAGGCTATTTTCCAGACAACTCTAATTCTAAATAATAACACTTCAGACAGAAAAATTCTGACATTTGGTCATTTAATCGAATTTTAGGAAGTGTTTTCTTCTGCACTTCCTCATATAAGTAGACTAGTAGCTAGAATACATCAGCCTGGCTGGCTATTTAAAGCTTGATACTTTTTCTACCCAACCCATTGTTATTCCAGACTCCCCATTTGTTTTATTTTCTACGTTTTTGCAACCTGTCTGTTTATTACAGTCTGTCTAAGTTCTTTTTTTAATCATTTCACCCCAAGCAAGGCAATAAAGACACTAAGATGCAACTGGGTGTGAAAGAATCTGAGAAAAAAAAGAAACATTATTAAAGAGAGAGGATGATAAAAAACAGGATGATTCAGAAGATAAAGATTGACATTGCATTTAAATTTCTGAAGATCAAAATTGACAGAAAAGCAGGAAGCTGGAAGAAAATTCCATAAACAAGAAGTGCAAGAGAAGAAACTATTAGCATAGAACTTATAGTTACATCTAGCAATTTCAACAGAAAAATGATGAGATCTAATTGATAATCTAGTATTGCACTTAAATTGTAAAGCATGCTACCAAAGAGAACATCAGAACAATTACCATGAAAATATTTACAGAAAAGGCACAGTTGGAAAATAACTGAAGTTGAAAACCTCCTCTCCCTTCTTTATTTTGTACTACAAACAAATTAATTTTGAATGACTTTCCCAACCTACCCTTTCATTCCATCCTTCTATTCTGAACTTAAGAATATACAGCTTGTGCACTATTTTTAAATTCTTGTTCACTGTAAATGTTGGCTTTGAACTGTAGTATTTGTTTTCTACTCATATAAAAAAAAAATTATCAAGAAGAGCAGATTTGCAGAGTTTCAGGCTAAGTTGCTTATTGTTATTATATGTTATTTACTAATTTGAGTTGATGGGGTTCATCAGCCCAGGAAGGCAATCCATCTAAGGGCAGGGGTACCAAACTTTTTTGTGTCATCACCCGCTTTCACATGAAAAAAATTTCTACTGCCCACTCATATAATAAATATTTAAAAGCATACTAAAATAGTTTGGTTAAAGTTTGTAAACTAACTTTATGATGCAGTAAAAGATACTAAAGTGAGGTAACAAATATTACTGAATTATGCGCAGTGGTTACTGCAACCATATTAAAGAACAAACAAAAGCAAATTTAATCATTAAAAAATATATAGAAAATACCAAAATATTCTGTTTGCATGGATATTTATATATTTTATCTAAAAATGTGACACAGTTATTCCCATTTAGCCTCCTGTTTTTTTTGTTCTTTTTTTTTTATTATTTATATATATATACAGGCTCTTTGCATATCTCCTCTGAATATTTTTTTGTTTGGTAGCATATGTTGAAATACCTTTCTTGTACTCAGAATCTTATATAGCACACCTTGCGGTCATATCCAAACACAGACATGGATATGGAAGTAAATCCAGATAGAAAAACTAGAGTGGAGCCCCAAAGACAGCTGACTATCAACACTATCTTCCAGCAACTCCTGCAGCCAAGCTGGTCACAAATGTAATGCTCTCTATTCCTCTAGATCTTGGCAGTACAGCCAAGAGAGGGGGGGGCATGTGGTCTGAGCAGCACACAACCTCCATATACAAAGCACATACTATACAGCAAGGGAAAAATTGATCATTGATTCGACGATCTTGACTGTGGTCAATTCATTTAGTATAAAATAAATAATGCCCTTGGGAAAGACATGACACCATCTACTCTCAACCTCAGCTATGAGTTAAATATCAGGCTAGTCTGGACTCTCAAGCCTTGAATGGCAGCCAATCAAGAAGAAAAATTCTAAATTAAAAATTGGGAAACCACTCCACTATATTTCACAAAAAGTCATGGCAATTCACAGATAATAAAGAAAAAGGAATCCGTCTATAGCCATAATCACTTATATCCTGAAGAAAATTTTTTTAAAGAGTTAAAAAAAAACATATTGAAAGTTTCTTATCATTTGTTATCAAATATTAATGACCTACAAGCATATTTTCCCAAGTTACCTTAATATTCCAAAATTATTTGTTGGACAAGGGTTTTAAAAGTGAGAAATAAATAAACCCAGACAATTTTACTCTATCCCAAAGATTAAAATGTACTTAAGCTGAATTACTTTGCAAGATTTTTACTGAGTAACATTAGAATGCAGGTCCTGCTGATTATCAAATTAAAATTTATTTCTTAAAGTAGTTTATAACAGTTTAACACTTTATGAGAAAAAAATATATTACAGCATGACAATATTTGAATGGTGACTTACTGACTGACATTCTTCATCAAGGCTGAGTTTCTGAATCATCTCCCCTAAATGATTTGCAACTTCTTGATGAAGACCATCAGATGTTGGAGGGATAAGTTTTTCACTTGGTGGTTCAATATGTTCATTTGTTGCTATAACCTAAAAAAATAAGAGATTATCACATGATTTATATTTAGATAGAAACAACCTCTTGAGATGGTATTTTAAAATGTGTATAAAATAGTCAAAATGCACATAAAATATTTAATACATTCATGTTCTGGTTTTCTCAAATTCTGGGGAACCATTTTACACATGACATCACTTATACAATAAATATATTTAAATTTGAAATGTAGCATCCAAAGAAATATCAGAATGTAATTAACAAAGTTTTTGCAACATTTAAATTTTTTTAATGACTGAGAAAGTTAAAAGCATATAAGCAGAAACAGAAGAAATGATGAACTTTGAACAATTTATCCACAATTTTGATCCTAATGTACAACATCTTATTTGAAAAAATGCACTAGAAAAATTAAACTGACAGACTTTGTTAGTTGAATTTAACAAAAATTGTTCAAATGTGTTCTTGCTGTTAGTTTTATATATATATATATATATATATATATATATATATATATATATATACACACACACACACACGTAATTTATTTTCAGGTAGAGTGTATCTGTAGAGGAACAAAATGAATAAAAAGAGACAAGAGAAAAAACTATTCTTAGCCAACACATTTTGTCATCTGAGGGACTTTATCAATGCAATGTAGGGTTTATATTGTTGCATGTGACATCCTTGCTTTTGTATATAAATACATGCAACAAAATAAATCCTACATTTCCTTGATAAAGTCCCTCAGATGACAAAATGTGTTGGCTAAGAATAGTTTTCCCTCCTGTCTCTTTTTATTCATACATATACACACATATATTTTGAGAGTGTTGTAATAAAAGAGAAGCAGCCAACATTAAATAAGGTATCTTTCTCCATATTGAATTGTGTTTAAAAAAATACACATGAAAATTCTAGTTTGACGATTTAAATAACGTCCAACCTGACCCAGCTGAAGTAAAGTTCATAGTTGAATTTCTGACCTTTAAAGACCCAACAGAAGTGGCAAGATTCTTAGGTATGGTCAAGTACCTTGATAGATATGCTACAAATCTATCACAATGAACATTTCACATGCAGAGCCTACAGAAACCTAATGTAGTGTTCACATGGGGCCTGGAACACAAGAAAGAATTTGATGACATTAAAAAGTTACAGTCCTCATGGTCCATCCTACAATTTTACAACCCTCAGCTACTGATCCAGATATCACACAATGCAAGTAAGAAGGGGCTGGAACAGCAATATGAGGAGAATGAGTACCAGTCACTTATGTATCACACACAATCACAGAGCAGATATTCTCCAATTGAGTGGGAAGCAATAGCTATACAATTTGCATGTGAAATATTCCATCAGTATATTTCTGGAAAATCTATGCAAATCCAGACAAACCATAAGCCTCTAGTAACAATATTCCAAAAGGCTCTGAATGACTACCCACCTTGATTGCAATGCATAAGGCTCAGGGTTCAAAGATATGACCTGCAGATAAGCCACATACCAGGAATGAACATGCATGCTGCAGATGCACTTTCATGTGCCATGCTTATGGACACAGCAGACACATTTGAAAATGACATAGACGCTCAGGTTGTTGTGGTATTAAAATATGTACCTATCCCTGATACAAAAATGGAGGAAATCTGAATAGTCACATTAGCCAACCCTACGATGCAAACCCTAAAAATGTACATCACCCATGGATGGCCAGCAAGCATCAACCAATGTCAAGCAGAAAATGCACCGTACTTCAACCCTCAAACCGAGTTGTTGGCACGAAAAGATTTGATACTCAAAGGCAAATGTATGGTTATTCCCCTTGGCTTGAGGACACAGATCCTTGAGAAGATATAATACTGGCTATCAAGGCCAAGTGCAAATGATGAGCAATGATATCAGTTTTTTGGCCTGGCATGAACAAAGAAATAGATTATATCATCCAGAATTGTATCAACTGCCAAACATATAGAGGTGTGGAACCGAAACAATCACTCTTAAGCCAGGAAGTACTCAGCCCTGGCAGAAAATAGCAGCAGTTCTCTTCCCTCACAACAATAGGGACTATCTCATTGTAGTGGATGCATACTCCAATTACTCGGATATATACCAAATTCCACAAAAGAACAGTGGAGCTGTGTTTAAAGCTAAGCAGGTTCAGAGTTCCACAAGACGTATTCATGGACAATGAAGAAACTATCTGAAACTATTTCATTAAATATTGACAAAAACCAGCTTTTTTTTAAAACCATATCACCTAAGCAAGGCAATAAAAACCACTAAGATGCAAGGAGTCACTAAGAGTGGAAGAAACAGAAAGGACAATTAAAGAACAGGATTCAGTTTTGATTGATTAATTCATTTTCTACAGTTTATCAACTCTTTGCAGGTTATTTAAAGCCAGAAAATATTTTTAAATTATAAGAAATGTTTTGGGGAGATGATAATGTTTTAGTAATACAAGTCTTACTAATTAATCCATAGCTGGGGAGAAGAGGTCGATTCATAACTTTCCCAAGGGTATTTGTGTGTAAATAAATATAATGAACCCAACATGAATTGGAACTAGACATTGCTTAACTTTGGTGATTGTACAGGAACCCGTGTTTCAACAAAGAGGATTCAAGGAGACAGAAGATGAGCATTGGCATTGCATTTAAATCTTTGATGTTCATAGTTGACAGGAAAGCAAGAAACTGAAAGAGAGCTCCACAAGTGAAAAGTTTTTCAATGCAATACATGTTCACTTATTTACAAAAGTATGGAATTCACAATAACAAATGAAATCTTCTGACAAAATTCAAGAGTGATGACCATGCCAGTAAATAACAAAATAATTTATCTGAAATAATCTTATACAAACATTCATTAAAGTATTTTTTATTTTAGAATTTAAACAATACTTCAAGATTATTTGCTAACTTTAATGAAATAAAGTTCCAATAATTCTAGAATATAATTTATTTAATATCAAAGCAAGAATGAAACTAAATTGTGGAGGAAGTTAATATCCTTTCACTCATCAATCTTATTCATTTATTAGCAATGAAATTAGAAATGGTTGGCTTACTGGTTAGATCCCTAATATTTATTACTACATATCTTTCACCAGTGAGAAGGAAAATTCTAGTTTCAAAACTGATTAAGTAATCTTTTTTCAATCAATCAATCCTGTACTTGTAAAATACAAGATAGAAATAAAAAGAGAAAGAAAAACAAGGGGGGTAAGGTGGGTCACGCTTGACAAAAAGGAGCTCCAGCAGAGGTGGTAATAAGAACATTGTATTAAGACACTGGTTTGTGGATTTGGTGATATAGTAATTGTGAGTTCAATCCCTGGGTTGGTTAGTACAGACTCAGACTCGGTGGAAACAGGACTAAAATGAACCAGACAATATATCCCTAGACGTGGATGGCGAAATGAGAAAAATTTGCTCCCATTCATTAAATTCACTTTGAAATTTCCTGAAAGTTGCCTGAAAAAGGTCAAAGTGCACAATGCTATGATGATAACAACAAAGATGAGGATATTAGTTTGATTATAAATAAAAAGCAAAGTGAAATTTAACTAACCTGTTCAATCAGGCAATGAATAATGACAGGAATTGTGACACTTTCAAGTGGTATTGTTTCCATGAGGTCATTGTAATATCGAGTGTCCACATGTATTGGAGCCTCTGAACTAAACTCAGAGATTGAAGGACCAGTTTGATGAAGAGGCGTTTCTGGCAATTCAAAAAACAGTTTCACAAAATGGAAGAATGAAATAAATACATTTAGAAATGGGATTTTTAAAATTATTCTTAACCGAGTAGTTATCTGTTTATTTTTTTGACAGTAAAATAAAGTCCCCCTAATGCAATTTTTTAAGACTAAAATCAATGTATTTTTAAGACTGTGTTATTAAAATAAGGCTATTTTAGTGATAGAATCATAAGCTAATGGGTTGACGTAGCTAATGTTGGCCTTATAATATCCTCTAATACCTATTTCATATGGCCTCAAAATTCCCCTGTAATTGGTCAAATTTGAAAATTTTCTTGGGGGTTTGCAGCCCTGAACCACAACTCTATAGGCTCATTAAGCTCACCAGAATCTATTCATAGCCTACATTTTGGGAGTTGGATCCTCAAATCTATTGTTGATAGTTGTGAAGGGGCCTCCACATCTGTTCAAGCTTCAGGACACCAAAAATGTAGGTCTGCCACTGACTGGACCCATAGAAATTCTCTGGTTGACACTTGACATATCGTCATTAGATTTCAAGGGGGATAAATTGTAATTAAAACCCATACAGTCATATATTGTATATCACATGATAATTTTTCAAATAGGTTTTTATATCATCGGTTTAGTTTGATCACCTGATTCACACACCTCACCAGTCTTTTGAATAGAAGTAGAGTTTTATCCCTTGTTTCCTGTCTAGGATTGGGTTTTCAGTATCTTCTAAATTTTACTTCAAATCTATACTTCTAACATCTCCACCTAAACTCTGAAATATATACTATTATTGAGCTTTCAGTTCTTTCTAAATTCTTTTCCTTCTCTTCCATTTTCCTGGCCCCTTGCATCTTTGTGGGGTTATCGCCTTGCTTGGGGTGAAATGATTAAAACAAAACCAAAAAATCATGTAGAGCAGGACCTGTGAAAACTCCAAAGTTTTACTCATTTTTATTACTGAAATTAATCATTTCACACTATCATATTTCATATTACTATACCATTTCACTGAAGCAAATGTTAAACATACAAGAACATTATCACTTCCTATATCTTCTTTTTATTTCTTTCAAGAAACACATATATACAGTTTCAATGCACTTGTATCAATATCAGTTGTCAGCTGATATCTTTTTAAGGAGACATTTGCAAGATGTTACAGAAATCATTTTGACAATTATTGTCTTGACAAATAAGGTCAGCTGAGTGAAGTGGACTTGATGTATGACTTTTTTAGACAAAAGCTGACAAGACAAAGAACACTTGTTCTCTATAAGACAGTCATCCCTAACAGCCTAAGACAGAGGACCACTCACCTGAAAGGAAGACACATACCATATAAACTGTTTGCCCCTTCACTTTTCCTCACTTGCCTACAGCCAGCACTTATAAGAAGGTTGCAACAGAATAAAATTTGCCGACTGCTACAATTTCATCTCATGGTTTTTTTCTTGGCTAACAATCAGGCCAAATAATTATTCTCCTTGTATTAGGCCACAAGTATCCAACTGGAAGAAGCTGCACCCTGCAAATGAATCTGGTGTCTGGTCTGAGCTGCAAGGTTACACACCCCAGAAGAGATTTACTCTGTCCGCTACTGTTATACCAAGAATTTGTGGTCAAGGATACACATACTATTACAGAGTGTAACATACATGCTAACAAAGTAATGTGGCTTCCTTGCACCTTTTCTATAAATACTTTCATGATAATTGTTCTGATGAACTTTTCTCTTTGGTATTTACTGGGGTTTCATTTTTAAATATTGTTATTTTTATTCACTACAGGCAAATTGTACATATGAAAACTAGTTAGAAGTACATAGAGACTTTGAGCTATTATGGTGGCTGTAGTAAGAATGGTAAGTAAGAATGTGTTGTTTTGGTATAAGGAATAATGTGATATGTTTGGGTCAATAAACATGGCTAGCTAAGTTAAAGATAAGACAAATTGAAAACCAGCCTTCCCCCTGCCCCCCCCTTTTGGTCTTGTGCTACATTTTTGTATTACTTAAAATAAATATTACTTTCCTCTATAGTACCTAGACTTTATGAATTTAAGCTTAAGTACTAAATTAGTAGCAAGGTTTTATCATTTTACAGCCGAAATGGCATCTAGATGTAACTGTAAGTTCTATGCTATCAGTTTCTTCTATCACACTTCTCATTTGTGAAACTCTTTCTGGCTTCTTGCTTTCCAGCTAAATTTGATATTCAAAAATTTAAAAATAATGTCAATCATTCTCTTTTGTCTTCTTGATTCCTGTTCATATTAGTTATTGTTCACTCTCCTTAAAAATGCTTTTTTTTTCTATTCTCTCACAGTCAGTAACCCCTTGCATCATAGTAGCTTTATTGCCTTGCTTGGAGTGAAAAGATTTTTAAAAAGAATGAAAGAACAAGCAGAACTGTGATATGATTGTTAATATTTTAATGAATTTTTTGTCCTAAATCAGCCAGTGATAAAAAAAATTAACTTAAATTTCCTAACCCAATGCAAATGTACTGTTTTCAATATTTTCTTTTGAGTTTTGCATCGACAAATTTTCAAAGCATACAAGGGATCCTTGGAAAGTTCTCAGTCTATACCACTTTCCAAGATCTAACTGAAGATCAGTATTTGGGGGTTGGGGGGAGAACTTCTTGCTCAAGCCAAAAACTTTCCAACACCTCCTAATATAATCAGTTCACCAAGTTCTTACATAAATTCTCACTTGTGGAACTCCCTTCCAGCTCCATGCTTTCCAGCTAACTTTAATCTGCAAAAATCTAAATGTAATGTCAATTGCTATCTACTGGCCTCCTGATTAATCTTTCCTCTTCCCACTCATTATTAATGTTTCTGTTCCTAATTCTTCCACACCCTGTAACTCTTTGTGTCTTAGTGGATTTGCATAGGGTGATACCAATTGCATAGGGTGATACCAATTAAGAAAAAAAGTTACTCATGACAATATTTATTAATATGAATTTAAGATTAAAAACAAACTTGAAGAAATTATTTTAGAAACCAATTCAAACTTTTCTTTTTATTCAAATTTTCTTTTTATTCCTTTTCAATTTTGTACAAACAATAATTCTTCAGGACTCCTTGTCAGTTTTAGTTCTTTCATATTGGACTGGGCCAATATCATTAAAAGTTATAGGATGTTGGATTAGTGATTTCACCTGATTACAGGTAATCAAATTTAGTAAAAGCCTTCAGTCTAACAGCTGTCTCATCCTACTTCCTATTTCTTTATGGTATACACTCAAAAAGTTAATGCTATATATGTATAACTTACATATGTTTCATACAGAAATAACACTTTTTTTCCTTTTTCAAAGTTTAATCTTATCTGTTACAGACAATACAGTGTTTATCATTTACATTATTTTTTTAATCATTTTACCACATGCAAGACAATAAAGCCACTAAAATGCAAGGGGTTTACTGAGTGTTAGAGAATATAAGAAAAAATTCTATTAAGGAGAGAGAACAATAAAAGAACAGCAATTAGAAAAACAAACAATAACAATTGACATTGTATTTAAATTTTTGATGATCATAGTTGACAGGAAAGCAATAAACCAGAAGAGAGTTTAACAAGCAATAAGTGTGAGAGAAGAAACTGTTAGCATAGAACTTACAGTTACATCTAGCCATTTCAGCTGTAAAATGATGATACCCAACTGCCAATCTAATAATACTGTACTTAAATTCATAAAGTCGAGGTACTAAAGAGGAACTCTCATCAGAACAATTACCATGAAAACATTTATAAAAAAGGCACAGGGAAACTATATTGAACATAAGAAAAATTTTAGCATATTACGGTGGGAAAATGATTGAAGTCACTCTCCTGAGATCCTGATGGAAAGTAAAGAGGATTCTCTCAGAGTCAGGACTGATAACATTGCAGATTCTTTTTTGGATTTTATCAAGAATCTCTAAATATATAGGAGCACCAGACCAGATCTGGGAACAATATTCAAAGGAAGAACAAATGAAGGACATGGCAATTAAAAAAAAATTTAGTATATATATATATATATATATATATATATATATATATATATATTTATATATATATTTGTGTGTACATTTTTATAAGTGAATCTTACCAGGATTCACCAAGCACAACTTGGGGAACTGCCATGGAACCAAAAAAGAGCCCTTGTGCCGTTTGCAGTTGAAATAATGCCTTTCTGTTTATAGATTCTGGCAAGAAAACTTTTTTAGCATGATGACACATGAAACCAACTTTCCTAACAACAGACTTAGCAATTGATTCAATATAATCTTTCCACTTCATTTCAGCAGAAAATTTTATTCAAAGAAGACACAATTGTCACTCTCCTGGATATTAGCATCAGCCATGCTGATGGAAAGTAAAGAGGATTCTCTCAGATGATTAAAAGAAAGCAGTTATGGGATGCTATTTTCTTTACTGGAACATGTTTGGAAGCTAAATGAAAGTAAACTATAATAATAAATGTTGAAAAACAAATAAGAATTATTCCAATTTGCTATTTATATTTATAATGTCTTAGAATTGTCCCAGAATTTATCACCCTGTGTGACATTTCATGCCAAGTAATCCTTGAATTGAACATAAGTAAAATAGTAGATAGCCTTGAGAAGGACAACACTGAATTTAATACCTTGAAAGAGGCAACAGGAAACCACAGAAGATCCATTGTACAACAAGGACGTGGAGAGGTGACGAATGCCGAATTTTCTTTTCTTCCCGCATTGATACACAATCAAAGGAGTAGGGTGTTTGCTTGGCCAGATCAGAAGTTTTTGTCAATTTACAGATATCAGAGAAAAGTAATCTGTGAGGAGCCACAATCATCTACCTCCTGAAGGGACATGGCAATTAAAAAAAAATTGTGCCAGAAAGACAGTAGCAGTAAATGAGTGAAACTAACTGAGAAATTAAAAAATTTTTGTTTGACTGAAATTACATTGCATGGAATAACCAGATGACTGGATTAGTATCAATCAATCAATATTTCCATTTCTTGGCAAAATTATGTGATTTTAATACTATTTTATTGGATAAGACTAGTCAAATGAGGTTAACCTTATGCCTTTTATAAGTTTAGAATTTTCAAAGAATCTTACCAGGTAGTCCTACCAAGCTTAACTTGGGAACATAACCAATTTTAGGAACTGTAATAATCTTCATGTTTCTGATGTAGTTCTCATATTGGCGTTTGCTATCAACCAAATCGTACATTAAATGTGCAATGTCATCAAACAATCCTGCACAGTAAGCAGCCTGAAAAAAATAACAAATTATCATATATTATCATATATCAAGAAGTAACAAATTATCATATTCATTCTGGGTATGACAATAAAATACATCTGACAGTGCAAAGTTGTGACTTTTAATGTCAGGTGACCCACATCCACCAGGAGTGGGCATGGAACAAATTTGGGACTGTAGATCCAGCGGTGTCTAAGGAATTGTTGTTGAAGCCACACCTGACGAAAAGTGTGGTAGTTATCTTAACCCATTGCAAGAATCCTCAACTGTATGAGCAGTATAGTGAGCGGCAAGAACTGGTGTCCCAGCAAACAAAACATTGACTGACAATGAAAGTTACAAAAATAAAACAGCTGGGGCGTTTTATAGTCTGGAAATGGCATTGTAACCACAGAAGCCGTCAAAACCATACATTTTCAGTAGGCGGTTTACTGGCCGTCACCCCTAAAAAAAAGATTACTGCACACATACCATTATTGGAAAACAAAGTCTGTTAAGACTCCGTGGTAAATGCACGACCAAATTTGGAACCGGACGTGTGAGGGAGGTGGTTTTGTTTGCATCATGTTTGTTTTTAATCCCACAACTTTATGGCATATCAACCTCAATGGATTATTTAATGCCAACAAGTTTTTTATTGTGGCGACTTGCCTTGTCCCCAAAAAATATTTTTTTTAATGTATTGCTCTGGTAATATTTTTTTTTTTTCAAAAATGCAATGCATTTGACATGGTAATGGGGAATTATTTACAAAAATGTATTGCTGGTAATAATCAATGGATTTTCATCAAAAAATGTATTGAAGGGTTTTAAACCCAGTTTGAGAGTTAACTATTTACCCATAGTTGGGGCCCTAACAGGTGCTACCACTCCAGGTCAGAGTGGACCTGGGAACACAGTTAGCAATTAAGAGGTGGTTCCACAACCCATTTTCCTCAAAGTTTATGGCATATCAACCTCCTGATCAGAGTCCGGTAATATTTTTTTAATGCTGTTGGATGTAGTTTACAAAATGTATCTTACCATCAGGACACGGATATATTTTATTGTCATATCCAGGATGCAGATGTAGTTTATCATCATACCCAGGACGCTGGAAAAGGAAGAGAAAAATTATCAGATACCCTGCTTTATGTTATTGTTTGCCATTGTTTTTCAGATTTCCTTTTAATTAAAAATGTTAATGTTTGGTATTTCTATTTAACTTTCCTGATGGATATTTTCTGTTTCATTCATACCCCACTCACAACCCCCAATCCACCTAGTGCCTATTTCTATTTCTTGCCCTTCACTTTCCCTTTCTTTAAGAGATACACCCCAACTGTAATTCCACCCTCATTTTTATGAAGTGAAAGGATTAAAAAAAAAAAAGATGTATTTGAGATATTTAGGCATGTCAACCCAGAAGTCATATGGGCAGGGAGCCAACTGGTTAGAACATTCATTTCCAAAAATGTGACTCAGGTTCAAATCTCACCATGGCGGATCAGGAAATTGACTTCTTGATATTATTGGCCTGGGGAGAGGATCCCAGCATACGGCACCTTCAAAAAATTACTGTAAACCCTGCCACAGGCTGACCCAAGCCTTGTGAGTGAAATTGGATCAATTGAACTGTTCTGATATGCCATCAATGATTGTGCTAGTACAATGTCACAAGTCATTGCGAAAGACGGTTTCGGTGTGATGGACTTGTTCGAACTGTACATCATGCCAGATCATACAATCTCTATCAGAAACTGTAACTAAGGTCCACTTAGCATAGTTGCTGTATAAACCACAGGTGGTCTCTGTAGGTGTTGAAGAAACAGAAATATGCCTTGATCTGCTATCTGCCCTAGCAGATGGGTGTGTTCTGGAAATGAGTAGCTGACCATTATTGTTATTGTTATTTATTATAAGGCAGTACTATGGAATTTAAAGGTTATGTATTTGATGTATTGTAGGTGTGTTTGTGTTCACATGTAAACAATTAAAGAAGAAGCATACAAAAATTTGGGTTTCTACTATGGACCGTTTATTCTTTATTTTTAGGGTGGAAACTGAAAGGAAATAAAGTTCTCGATGTCTCTCAGGTATGTCCATTTTTTTTCGGTCCAGAAGTTAAGGTAAGTAAGGATAAGCATCATTATAATGGTTGAGCTCAATTCAGCCTTGTACAGAGTTGGAACGACCCCTGAAAGGTTTGTACTAACTTCATCATTGGAGGGTCGAGCTCAAGTCAGCCTTGTGCTGAGTTGGAACAACCAAAGAAAAAGTTTGTTTTACTTCATAGGCTGAGGTTTTGGAAGACATGTGCAAACACCATGCATTGAACACCATACTCAGTTGTCAGTGGACCAGAGAAATGAACAGATCCCAATGGGGACATCTTTGTTCCACATACTGCTACATCTTGGAGTAAGAGGAAGAAAGAGAATGGTGAAGGAAATGTTTGTCTTTTTATAGATATAACACCAACTAATGGGTGTTTGACAAAGCCAAGTGGGGTAATAACATTTCTGGTGCCTTTATTACTAGCATCATGAGAATTATCATGTATTTTTTTTTATTTTTTTTATTATTCATTATTATGATTTTATTTCATTTTCCCACAGTACCCATATAAGACAATCTTTAGCATCAGTAATAGTTTCAGAAAAATGGGCAGCATCAGTTTATTACTAAGTTAACCAAATCACCACTAGCTTCTGAAATCTTAGCTAAATGTTTTTTCTATCATGCCATGCATCCATGAAAGGATTTCTTGAACATTCCATTAGTCACAAATAACAGTTTAATTAAGATTAACATATAAAAGTCTCGAAAAGGACCTCCAATCGGATGCAGACTGGAGCAGGAATTGGCTGGTTAACTTAAATCCTCTAAAACAAAACTGCTCTCTATTACTCACCACAGGGAACCATCCCTGTAACCCATTAGAATGTCTGATGCTCAACTCCACGAGAGCACCTCTTTACGACTGCTTGGTCTCACACTGTCCGCTAACCTGAGATGGAACAATTACATTGAATCAATAGCTTCATCCACCGCAAGGAAAGTTGGTTCCCTGTGTCACACCAAAAAGATTTCCTCACCTAAGTCCATCCTTCAAATCTACAAATCAACAATTCACCCTTGCATGGAATACTGCTGCCATATATGGTTTGGTTCCCCCACTGCTCACCTTAAGGTCCTCGACAAGATCCAGAGATGGATAAGCAATGTGGTTGGTCCTGATCTGGTATCTCATCTTCAGTCGCTCTCTCACAGACATGCCGTCACTTCCCACTGTCTTTTCTAAAATACTTTTACTGTAACTGCTCCAAGAAGCTACTTTTGCTAGTTCCCAGACTGCATGAATTTAAGTGTTCTACTAGGCTGACATCTTGGTCCCACCCTTTCACTGCCTAAACGGTTAAATGTGGCTGTCTCTTCTACTTCAATAGCTTCATGTCTCACACCTCCTCTCTCTGGAATTCCCATTCCTATTACTTGTTTCCCTGATAGATATAATCTCCAACTATTCAAATGTAATGTCAATCGATATCTCCAGATGCCCTAAACTATCACCTGCCCTTCTCTTTATCCTTTCCTCCATCACACTTCTTTAACTCTCGCTCACACTCTGTAACCCCCTTGTGTACAAGTGACTTCCCACTTTGCTTTGGGTGAATTGCTTAAAAAAAAAAATAAAAATAAAAATATTTGAGAAAATTGTAACTCCTCTATTGCAAGTTTCCTGATTTTGCCAATCTCTAAGGTGCCACATTTGATGAATTCCACAATGACTGAAATTCAATTACCTGAACCTCATTTTTTTCTGAAAGTGGCATCGGTTCGTGAACCCATTGGTCTTGTACATGTGTGTGATTTAGCGGAGACTCAACTGGTTGACTCATCAGAAGAGGGAAAATCTCATTCCAAAATGCCTCGGTGCCTGTTTTAATGCGGATGTTTTCAGCAGCTGCAGCCTCTTCAGCAGCTTAAATAAAAAGAAAAGGATTTCATTTGCATAAATGAATTTAATTGAATGCAACCTGGTAATATGATACAAAAAATACATTATTTCTTTATTTTGTCTTAAGTATTTCATTTAATCTATTCTAGTATTTGGCAATTTGATAAAATTATTTGTACGTTAATTCTTTCAACATGGTAAATATTTTTATTTTTTAAAATACAGAACACAGAAAAACATGGCTCTCCACAGAGTTCTTTTCTTTATTATTTGGGAAAATATTTCTTGGGAAAGATAATGGTGTGGTTTCCTGTTACCTTCTGCATGGTTTGGAATTCAGTTTTTCATCACCTAGACTGGCTGTTATCCAGGGCTCAAAAGCCCACTCTACTCTGCTATTCAACACATAGCTGGAGATAGATTCATGCCTTTCCCAAGATCATTTGTGCAAAAGTGAACACAACTGACTAGGCTGGGATTTGAACTTGGTTTGCTGATTTCATTGGCAATGGAGTCTATTCCTATTCAAATAACAGTTACATTACCTGCACTTCCATAAATTTTATATTAGTTTTCTTTTTAACATAGTTATTGAAAATGTAACTGCTTGAAAAAATGTTATACTCATACAATTAAGAAAATAAAAGTATTAATTATGCTTAAATGCATATGATACATTCTGTGTTGTCTCTATGTCCCCACACTATTATATAAAATGGTATCAATGAAAAGGACATTTCTTTTTTTTTCTTATTTGTTTTATTAGGAGAGAGTGGTGGCAGCTTAGATTCTAAGAGGCAGCAGGGGGAATAACATCATGGGAATACATGTCACACGTTGACTCAGTGTCCATCTGTGGGCAGTTTTAGCCAGTCTCTAACCCGGGTGTGGGAGGCATATCAACACTTCAGAATTCTTGCAGCCCTCTGTTGAATTTGGACTTATATCCAAAACTTAGACAAAAGCAATCCATCACTGTCAGCATGAGACACTCCAACCAATTGCTAACCATTCTGGTCCTGGCTTTCACATTCTTTAACACATACCTAATAGTTATTTTAATTTTAGAAACTTCCCTGCCCTCCATTAGAATGTCTGATGCTCAACTTCTCAAGAGCACCTCTCTGCAGCAGCTCGGTCTCACGTTGACTGCTGATATGAGATGGAACAAATACATTGAGTCAATTGCTTCGTCCACCGCAAGGAAAGTTGGCTCCCCGTGCCGTGCCAGGAAATTTTTCTCCCCGGAATCAATCCTCCAGATCTACAAATCAACAATTCACCCTTGCATGGAGTATTGCTGCCATATATGGTCTGGAGCCCCTTCTGTTTGCCTCGGGGTTCTTGATAGGCTCCAGAGGCGGATATGCAATATAATTGGCCCTGCTCTGGCATCTTGTCTACAGTCACTTTCTCACAGATGTGCCATCGCCTCTCTCTGTCTGTTTCATGGCATTTGCTCCGAGGAACTGCATTCGCTGGTTCCCAGACTTCATGAGTTCAAGCGCCCTACAAGGCTGGCATACCGTTCTCAACCTTTCACTGTCGAAACTCCTAAATGTAGCCGTCTCTTCTACTCCAATAGCTTCATGTCTCACACCTCTCGCCTGTGGAACTCCTTTCCCATTTCTATTCCAGTTTCCCCGAGAGCTATAATCTTCAACTATTCAAATGTAATGTCAATCAACATCTCCAGTTGCCTTGATCTATCCACTATCCTTCTCCTCATCCTTTCCTCTATCACTCCTATTTGATCTTGCTCCAAATCTTCTGTAACCCCTTGCGTCCTAGTGGCTTCCCGCCTTGCTTGGGGTGAAACACTTAAAAAAAAGAAAATATTTAAACTTATACAAGCTACAGCTTTTTTTTCCACTAACGTTACCCTGATACTAAGCCCAAGAGTCACTCAAGGTAGAGGGCTACTGAATGAGGTGTATGATATGAATGTAAGAGGAAGAAGATTATGAGGATATAGAAAATAGATAGCAATTGTGTACAGTTTATTTTGTTTTTACTTTACAAAGATACCTTTTCTTCTAGTATACAAAGATGATAATAAAAATAGTTTCAAAGCCAAATACAAATAAACTCACATTAAAAATGTAATAAAAAAGAAACTGAACATAAAAATTAGAACCATTAAAAAAAAATTTAGGTACTTTTCTGTAAAGTGAATGAATTTAGAAATTTTAAAATTTTACCTATAAGTCTTGAGTCTTTTGGCAAAGAGTCATCTTTTTCTGGCTGCAGATTAACAAATCGGTTATAATCTGAACATCTATATCTTATCACTGTGTTTATGTGAATGTCCAGTTCACATAGCTGTATAAGTAACTTGGGATTGTAAAAACCCGATATGATGATGTAATGTTGTGGCCCATCATCAGGTTCATCATCTGTAAAAAAACAGAACTAAATCAAAAGAATATCTTGTTGACATTGGAAGGCTTAATATACATTATAAAAACATTATCTTTCAATAGGCAAATGATAAAAGTATTAAAATGTATCAAAAGCATTTTAATTACTGAACCTCTCAATAAGTCCTGTATGTTTAGGTGAAGCTTATTGTGTCATTGTGATAGAATAGTGTGAGGCTAGCAACATTTCATCTGTTAGATAAAGATTGCAGACTGGAGAATAATTCACCAACCATCAGGCCATGTAAGTGCTCTTGAACTCTGTTGAAGCTGGAGAGTGAGAATTGGGCATCATCAACCCAGATATGGCAGCAATACTCCATTCCTGATCTGATCTGGCTCTTGTAAATATAGAGCTTGACAATAGGCATCAGGCTTTTTCTGGTGTGATATAATGAACTAACCATTTTCCCAGCATCTTTTGTGATAGCACAAATATATGTATTGCATTTGAGGTCGATAGTGAGTTTTAACACCAGCAACAGATGTTTAAGGCAAGAGGCCTCTTTGAGCATAAGACCACTCATCAGAATTAGTGCAGGTTTAGGGTTTGCTTGATGGTGATGAAATGTTACTAGTTTAGTTTTGAATGATACCAACCTCACTGAACTATGAGAAATAGATAAGAGGAGAGATCAGTTTTCAGGCTCTTATGATCAACATATTTGGAGGTGTACCCATACACAGTGGTATCATCTGCATACATATTTACTAAGGATCTGAACGTGTTCTTGGATAGATCATTAATATAATGTAGAAAGAGGTTAGGACTGAGGACGGAATCTTGAGGGGACACCAGCATTGATCACCTGTGCCTCAGAGGACTGGCTATATATAACAACCTTCATAGATCTATCTCACATGGTAAACTTGATAACTGAGAGGATTCACCCAGAGATTCCATAACTGACTAGTTTGTCTAGTAATTCCCTGTATCAAAGTCCTTCGAGATGTCTAGGGTCAATCACTATTGAAATATTTTATTATTGAGTGCTTCACTGATTCTATATGTGATAATAGGACGTCAGAAGTGAACCTAGAAGAGTGAAAACTATATGATATTATTTGTTGCTCAGGAGTTTGTTTTTGCTTATGTGATCAATAACATTCTTCTTTATGATAGCTTCAAAGAATTTGTTAATGATACATAGGAGGCTGATGGGGCAATATATAGTACACACCAGCCCTGGTCTTTAGATGTATACACAAAAAAGGCTTTGGAGTAAAGGTCTGTAAAAATACTTTTGATAAACCCTAATAATAATAATAATACATTTGAGTCATAGTTTTTAGATATGTATATGAAAAAAAGCTTTGAAGTAAAGGTCCATAAAAATACTTTTGATAACCCTAATAATAATAATACATTAGAGTCATAGATAGTTTTTCAATGTGTACATGAAAAAAGTTTTGCAGTAAAGGTCTGTAAAACTATGTTTGATAAACCCTAATAATAATATAGTGAAGTCATAGACAGTCTGTATATATGAAATAACATTTGGAGGAAAGATCTGTAAGAATGGAAATATTTTTGAGACACCCTATTAAACAGATATAAGAAATTTTTGCATGTAATCATTTCTGAGTGCATTACTTTTTTGTGTTACGTATTGTAGAAATATGATTTCTCACACATCCTTAGGAGATGAATAGATAGATGTTTTTCCTTTTAAGTCAATTTAATGACCAGGGTTTCTCAGGAATGTTTTCCCCAGCCCATTTAATGACCAAGATTTTTCAGGAATCCTGTCACCAGCCCACCTTTGAATCATCAAAGTTTTGTTAGTGATTTTAGATAGCTGTAAAAATAGGGTCCTTTAAAAAAACTAGCTATCCAAAAGCTATCTAGGTGGTCCACTTTCTGGTTGGTGGAACATGAGTAGACAAAAATGGGTAGTGGGTCCCACAGCCAGTACACATATAAGGAATTGGACAGTGAGTGAAGAGGCAGTCTGTGAAACAGTCAGGAGTGAGTGAAGCAGCCAGAAGTCAGTGAGACAGTCAGGAAGTGAGTGTGTAGGGGTCTTTTTTCTGTGGCCAGAACTTAGTGAGAGGTCAATAAAGAAGTTAACTTTCTCAAAGCAGAAGGAAGACATTGGCATCAGTTACTCACAACTGCTGATGACATGAGTTCAAAGAGCCTTAAAAAAATGAATAGAAAACACACACATATATATATATATATATAGCTTAAAAAGAATATCCTTTTTATCTTATAAATCTACATATACGACAGTGACCTATATTCTTAACAATACACACATGGAAAAATTTTACTCACTCAAAGCCTTTTTTCACCATTGATTTTAGGAAGCAGTTGTATAGAGCTGGCAGTTTAGATATTTCTGAACGGTTTTAGTGCTATGCATGACATCAATATGAAAGTCTCAATCTAACAAAGATATTTAAGAGCATGACTTGAGTTTTCAGGTTGATGTTTTGGTTTCTTTTCAGTGTTGGACAAAACTACCTCTGGCTCAGCCAATTCTATGTTCAGTTTTCTTTTCTTCTATACTTAATTTATTATAGCTGATCTGTATGCCAATGTATGTGAAATGTTGATATTTACTAATTCCAAATCCTGTATTTTATAATGAATTCCGAGTACATTTCATAACTGCTTTCATTCCAATTCTAGATCTTAGTTTCTGTTTTGAAAATGTTTATCTCAAGTCCCATTTCTTGGAACCCTTGATATAAGGTGCGAATTTTCTGTTCAAGATCATTCTTATCCCAACTATGAACACCTATGTCATCTACATAGTCCTCTCATCATCAGTACATTGGCTTCAGGAAAGAAAGCAGGATTGATAGTGATTTTCTTAGAGTAGCTTAGATGTGGCATAAGGGTGAAATTACAGGGCACACAGTAAGGATTGAACTCACTATTCAGTTATAATTGATCTAGCTTGCCAACCATTCCACTACATTGAAGTGCCCAAACTACCCAGACATAAATGTGTGAAATGATAATGAATAAAAATCAAACAAAATCAATTTACAAAAGTAGAAATGAAATTATATTTTACCAATAAATTTCTGATCAAGATTTTCTTCAGATCTTTTCTTGAGAAGAGTTCCTTGTTTTGCACTATTCTGCTGTTCTGGTGGTTTTTTGGCTGCTCCTTTTTTCCCAGCTGATTTTGGTGCCTTAGCAGATTTGTTTTTTCCACCTTCAAATTCCTGCAGATAAAATTTAGATCATAACATTCCTGTAGAAACCATCCAATTATTGAATGTTCCAATAAAGTTGGTTGTACTGCGACTGCTCTAAAACTCTGTTACTCTACTGAACTGCCTACTCCTGTAATTTACAAGGACTTAGATATGTTTTGGCACAAAGCTAGATTAAAACTATCACTGGCTTGCAGGAAAAACATGTTAAACAATGAACAATCCTGAACATTTTTGATATTTTAACAGATTATAGATATTATAGGCTTTAAAATAGTGGGTAATACAAAGCTTCCGTACACCTTAACCAAGCTTTTTGTGTTTGAGCTTCCTCTCCAGAGCACTATGTAGAGGAAGCAAAACACAGGAGGCTAGCAGTCACTGGTTATAAAACCTTTCTCAATTGGAGCAGGAAAACACCACTCAACACCATCTCTAATGGTAATAGTCAATCTGCAGTGGGCTGTTGATATATGTGATCACCTTGGCTAATCACAGAGAGGCTAAGAGAACAAAGAAAAAGTACAAACAGCAAAATCACACCATTATCAGCATTATTGAGACTGGTCTGTACATGCAACATCTGTGATCATGTTTGTCTCTCACACATTGAACTTTGCAGCCATAAAAGACACTGCATGAGAGGTCTGGACTCTCAAACATGGAAAAATCAATGGTCTTCTAAGATTGCAATGCCACCAATGAAAACATTATGTTAAGAAAATAATGGCTCTTCATTTCAAGTCCGATAATAACAGACATGACAGTTGCTTTTAAAATGAAAAGCTGTTGCTAATTTAGATGCCTTTATTCATTTAAAGCCTGTAAGGAAAAAAGTGGTATATTTATATTTTAAAAAGTTGATTAAACAAAAATATACAAAGACCAGTAAAGTGATTGTCATGCAGAAGTGCATCGCAAGGATGATTGCCATCAAAATCCTGATATATTGTTGCAAAATATAAAATACAATTAGCTTTTTATCAGAAAATTAATTTTCATTCAAGATGAAATGATTGATCAACATGATAACAGATGTTATGAATGTTTCTTTATTCTAAAAACATAATTTAATAATAAAAAAAATATCATTTTTTTTACCTTGCTGCCAATTTGTCTTCTTTTGATATCTTCAGCTTTGATAGCCAGCAATTTGTATTTGATGAGCTTTGCCAATAACAAATCTGGTATCTCTTCTTTGTTATCAAGATGAACTTTACAAGCTTCACACACTTCTGCATAGAGGGGAATTTCTTTGGGTCTGTTCTTGGGATTTCCATATAAATGTACCTGAATTGAATGCAGTTAGAATCATTTATATTTCTGGGTCAGACCATTATTATGAAATATCTTCAGTACCAAATGAAAGAAAAAGTAAACTTTATTTTTGTAGCAAATTGTTCATAAAATGTAAAAACTGCTTTCAGTTGCATCAGTAATTTAAACCTGTGATAGAAAAGTTACATTTCCTGTCTAAGGTAAATCAGTTAAGACTTTCTAACAGTGATAATTAGAAACAGCAAGATTTTTCAATCAAATTAACTGCTGACCTGCTACTTTAAATGTTTGCTGTAGTTGTAATAAGTCCTAAGATTTGAACTTCAACAATTAGGTATGTTATTTCTCAATAAAATAGATTGTATTATTCACATCAGAATGAACTAACCCTGACATGTAACTGCTCTAATATTGAGTTATTATAAAAAGGAAAAGTAAAGGTAGTTGGCTTTTTCTATAGACAGCATTTTTACACAGAGTCACTTAAGAAATCGAATAAACAACTGGAACATTATGAGGAGTTAGATTTTCTTTTGAAGAAAATCAATTTTCTTTCTTCATATCACTGCTCTAAAATGTTGTATACATTGAGACACAAAAAATACTCAGTAACATTTACAAATATATTGAGATTGTGGAAGAATGGAAATAAACTAATAAATAAAATAATTATTAAAAATTAAAGAATTTCATTTTGCCATAATGCAAAAGAAAAAAAGAAAACCAAAAAGGGTTTACAGTCATGTGTGAATTTTATGACACCACTTCTGGAAAGTGCATGATTGGTCTCTTCTCACTTCCCAGCTATTGAGTTCGGACATGTTTGGTAGCCATGCCAGTGAAGGGGAGATTTGGCCAACCTCACTCTACATCAAGCTGACTTGGGGTTAACCATTCTCCACACATTCACATCTTTGTACCTACATACATCAATAAACATTGGCGGTTCATTTTCTACTCAAGTCTTTGTTTTGTTTATTGTGGTTCACAGATGTTCAAAATCTGTTAGTGACACAAAGTCCAATACAACCCTCCACAAGATGTTTAAAAAGAAATGTTTTATTTCTCCCTAATTCTATTAAGACATTTAAAAAGAACTGTTTTATTTCTCTTATATTGTATTTTTAGTTCATATTTAATGTCATCCTTTTCGAGTATTTATTCTTTTCTAATGCAATTTCACACTTATCAAATTATTACACTTTGCTTTAATACCATATTGAAATTTTTTCTATCCTGCAGAAAATTAAATATCTGTATATACATATATAATTGCATATTGATCTGTGGCGGACATGAAACAGAACCTGGGACGAGCACAACTGGTCGCGACTTGCCTTGTCCCCGCCAAAAAAGAGCCCGTATTTGCTTAGCATGTAAAGCTACTGCAGTTGAAATGAGGGAGAGAAAAAAGCACTTACCGCTCTGCCTTAATCCATCCTCGGCCAGATAACGTAAAAGAATGAGGGGGGACTGGCATCACATTTTTATGCAATAACGATGCAATGCATTATGGGACATGGACGCAATGAATTATGGGATCACATGAAGATGCAAGGGATTATGGGTATATGAACAACTGTAAAAACCACTACTTTTTTCCGAGTCGGGGAGTTCTTCGAGGGACGTTCACAGTTGACGGCAAGAACAGGCAGTTAGTGTGATTTGGAGACAGAACTCAAGAAGGAACGACTCAAGGTTGAAATACCAGCTGGGAGAGCTTGAATTTACTCGCTGGTTACTGTTTTCTTCATTCGCCTCAAGCTATTTTGGCACATTTCCATGGCACATCAAATAATTTTCTACAAGTTAACTTGTAAAAGAACCTATGTTGGGGTATGCATAATTAGAAGAGTATATATATTTATTACATATATATTTACATTATTTACTGTCAGATTAATAACCTCATCTTCATTGCTATCAAACTATTTTTGTTATTGTTAAACAACTTTGTTTTTGTGCTCTCCAGCATTCTTCAGGTGTCTATTGATCCAGGTAAACTTCAGGGAATTTTGAACTGTGTTAATCCTTGAAGGTTACACACAGAAGAAGGTCAGGGGTGCAGCTGAAACATTTTAACAATAATAAGAAAAATGAGGACAATAGTCTGATTGCAAACAATGTAAATAATGATAATTCATCATCCCAGAAATTGAAACAGAAATAAGTATGTATACTTATCAAAAATGATACACAGCAATAAAAACTTTCTAAAAATAAGGGTAAAGTATATGCATATTTGTAGCGAAGTTTTCTATTTAGGGCATCATACTGGACAACTATAAGGGTGAGAGGTTACATGCATTGTTCATAACAGGTGGTAGCACATGTTAGGGTCCCAGCTATCGACAAAAAGTGAATCCCCAAACAAAAATCAACCGTACATTTTTATAGTAAAATTACTAACAATACATCTACAAAATATATATATCTCAAACACATACCTTTACTCAGAAAATATAAAATCATGTACAAAATATCTTTATTTGAAAGCATAAAATTATGTACAAAATATTTAGATTTCAGCATTAAATAACTCATAGAGGTTGATATGCCACCAAACAAAATCAAACAACCAACCTGTTCATAGTATTTGGAATTCGCTCTCAACAAAACAAACAAAACAAAAGGATATTGAGATAGATGAATTGGAGATGATAACATTTAAAAGGTGGAATTCTACAATAGGCACTGTATCAAACGGTTTTTTTTTCATTTAATATGCTATGCTTCTTACCTCTCGGAACAGATTCTGTCTTGTTACTTTTCCAAAAAGGCGGCGAGAGCCAGTAGCAATGGCAGAGTTTAAGAAGTTCACATTTACTGCATCTTCAAGTTTATTTTCAATAAGAAGAGCTGTGCAGACTTTCCAAAAGTCCTATAAAGAAATGAAATTTTACGTCATCAATAATAATACAGAAAAATAAAGTTTAATCAAAAAAAAAAAATCAGCATTTCAGCTTCAGTCACTTTCCCACCTGTGGCTTTTCTATAAATACTTTCTATAAACAGTTTCATGCACAATACAATCATCAGGTACCGAGTTAAAACTGACCATTACATAATTTAAAGTTTGATCAATACACTAGACTATAGTAATAGTGGAGCAGTTCATATAATTTATGGGGATTGCTTAAAAAAAAAAAATTAATTTAAATATTCAATATCTGCCACATCTGGTCTGGTTCTCCTGCTATATATTTAGAGATTCTTGATAAAATCTAAAGAAGAATCTGCAATGTTATTAGTCTTGAGCTGGGATCTTGGATTCAGTCACTTTGCTGTAACGTAGCTTGCCTGTGCATTTTCTATAAATACTTTCATGGTAATTGTTTGGACAAACTCTTTGCTATGGTACCTAGACTTTATGAATTTAAGCATAGTACTAGATTGGCAGCAAGGTCTCATCAATCCATGGTTGAATTGGCCGCTAGATGTAACTGTAAGTTCAATGCTAACAGTTTCTTTTCTTGCACTTCTCATTTGAACAACTCCTTTCTGGTTCCTTTTCCAGCCAATTTTGATCTTCATAAATTCAAATTCAATGTAAATCATTATCTCTTGATTACTCTTCTATTGTTCTCACTTCTTAATTATGTTTCTCTTTTTTCTTATTCTTTCACACTCGGTAATCCCTTGCATCTTAGTGTCTTTACTGCCTTGCTAAAATGGTTAAAAACACAACAAAAACCTGGGATTTTTTTACCTTTTTTTGTTTTTTCAGGTGAACCAGTTTAATCTTTTGTTACAGGTATCAAAACTCTTAATGATATTTTTATTCTCTTGGTACATTTGATACACAAACAATTTTGGCAGACTCATGTGAGTCCACAGAAAAATAAGACAGGATTTAAATAAATAAATATTAACAAATATATTGATAGGACATTTTACAAAAGTAAAAAAGGGAAATGAAATTAAATGTGAAGAGTTCAAAGCAACCTTCAGTGTCAGTAGTTGAGCTACTTACATATCGGTGGGAGCAAAAAGAATATGTCCTTTTGCTATGAAAAGTTACAGAGAAAGAGATGGATTCTTTCAAATCTCGCACCACCTGTAATTATCATCAGTGGACGGTAATTCAAAATGTCACACTTTGTAATTATCATCAGGGAGTAGTAATCTAACAATTTTGATGGATGGGATTTTTTAAATGCTATATCTCTTCAGGACTTTGAAATGAATTCATGATTTCCCAAGAGCAGGGAGAACATAAGAGTAGGCCAGAAGTTGAACACAGTTCACTGACACCTCTTTCTGCTTGTATAGCCATTATTGTTATCTGCACAGCCATTCATGGTTGGTATACCAATGATTTTAGATTTTAAAAATAGTTAAGTAAACCAGAATTAGAAAAAAATGAAGTTAATATTTTACAAATCAGATGTCTAATGTAGTGTGTGTTTGAAGACACTGTTATAATTACTTAAGTCAGTTTATTCCACTTATATCCTTTATAGATGTCTAAATATTCAGTATTGTTGTAACAGGAGGTTGCTATGGAAAAAAGATTTATTGTCTACACTTGTATTTCTATCATTATGGGCATTATTATATCCATGATATAACACCATACTTCATAGAATGGCTGAAAGGAAAAAAGAAATGACAAACCTGCTTTATTCTCAGACAGTTTTGTATACTACTAAGACATACACAAAACTATATATATATATATATATATATATATATATATATATATATATATGTACAAGTGTCCCACACAGAGAATAATATATCATATATATATATATCTACATGGCAAAGCAGAGTGTAAGGAGAAACAAAAAGGAAGAATCTTTCATATAATATGGAGATACTCCTGTGTCTGAAGAAGCCATGTTTGTGACTTATCTCTACCAAAGAGAGATAATTGCTTTCTGTATCAATATATTGCTTTCAGTAAACTAGCAAAAGTACCCAGCCTTGCTTGGGTTTATAAATACCTAAAATAAATACAATCGCAGGAGGTCACTATATTTGGTATGAACTGTTTTAAAAAGATCTTCACTTGGTCCAAAAGTGTTGAATTAATCAGGAATATTGTGTCCATGCAATTCAGAAAATTGCAAAATCATGAATACACAAAGAATTTAGCAAATAAATATTACAATAAAAAATATGAAACAAAAATCAACATACATATCTACATAGATAAAGATGGATCATTTTAATATGCTCCTTTTAGTTAAAAATCTAATAGTATGACCCTTGTAGAGTTTACAGTATAATATAACCCTGTATTTTTCAGAAAACCAATTCATTAAACCATCAATGCTCACCATGAAATCTGCTATTAATTATAAAAATTAAAATAAAATTCCACTATTAATTATAGGTTTCTAAAATAGTCCAGCATTAATTATAGGCTCCTAAAATAGTCTGGCATTAATTATAGGTTTATAAAGAAAACAATCTAATAAATAAATAGAATTTATTATTTTTGTTGTCAATTCTGAAAAACAGCGAAAATATATAAATTCACTTTCAAATGTTTAGATCTTATTACAATTTCTAATCATAGCTTTTTAAAACAATAAACATTGCTGAAGATTGAAGGGTAGTAAAAAAAGCAGAGTGTGGTGGGAAAAACCATCCTTTTGACACTATGTCTAATTGTGGGCACAAGGGTCGATGTTTGTCAAAAATTAATTAATAGGTTTCTACCCATTAATGCCCATTTTGCGGGACAATGGGCATTAATTCCAATCTTATTAGAATATATATATAATTCACCATGATATAAATGAATAGATTTTTATCTTTCTTCTACAAGATACACATATACCAAAAATGAACTGCAAAAAATTCACCTTGAAAATTCAAATCTCACTATTTGCTCATTTCTAAATAAATTAGTCATAATCAATTTCAATTTAAATCTTTGTATAGTAATATGTAAATGACTGCCTAATTAGTATAGCTTAGGCATAGGAACTATATAAGTTCCCAAGTAGTATGGGGAGGGGCAGAATATGATGCGCAAGATTAATGACTACCACAGGACTTAGAAAATACAAAGGAAATCACACTTCATAACAAACCTACTGTTATCATTATTATTACTATTATCAACGTAATTATTGCTATTGAACCAACAACATACTATTATCATTATTACTTTTAACAGCATTATTGCTATTGAAGCAACAACATTTTATTATCATTATTATTACTATTATTATCAACAAAATTATTGCTATTGAACCAACAACATACTATTATCATTATTATTATTACTATTATTATTAACAACATTATTGCTATTGAAGCAAAAACCTTGTAGTGATATATAAATAACTGCCTAATTAACATAGCTGAGGCATAGAGATGATATAAGTGCCAAAACATTAAGAGGAGGTGCATGATAAACAGGATTAATGATTAATGTTGGACTGAAAAAGCACAAAGGAAATAGTATTTCATAATAGTCTGCTTTAATAAATATATAAACACTCATAAAAATTTTGAAAGAAACAAAAATATTTGATGCATTGATATACACAGCATATACTCATACTAACAGAAGACCTAGATATATAGAAATGCTCCAGAACTGATAGGTCACAAGACCAACCTGGAGTTAGGTGAGATGGAGTGAAATGGTTGGTAAATTGAGTTAAATTACTCTGGATGGGGTAAAATTAAAATCTCTGGGGATAATGAAGAAGTAATTAGATTTTGCCAGAATAAATTATTATTTAACTAGGTACTTCCAAAAAAGCTACAACTAAGATTCAAAATGCATTATAAAAATGAAAATCTTTCTTGAAGCTTTTATTTTAGTTTATTAGGTTAAATTTAATATTTCCAATAAGTAAGACGCTTTGCTGTATTTCAAACCGAATTTAAATTATTTGGAATTATTTTTTTTTGAAATCGCTAAAATCAGCCATATTGACAAATCTGACAATACAACAATTCTTTTTATTAAAAAATTTTTCAAAAATAACGTATACTTTTCTAAAACGTTTTTTAACATAGAGGTGGGTGTTTTTATGAGTTGTTGACAGATTTATCAATAGCTTAATATTTGGCATTTTAAGTAAAGGTAACATAACTGTAAAAATTACTTGAGGAATACAACATGAATGCATTTTTATATAATTTTGTAACTACTCAGTAATATCAAAAATTTAGAAAGATATTCTAAGTAATCTAATATCTTATTGAATTTTAGGCCCTTTGGTTTTATAGTCCTACTTACAAAGATGCTGCTTGGAGAAATATTAGAATATTACCAATAAATTTTAAATTTACTATATATAGTTACCGCTCTTATGTTCTGATAATCTCATGTACAGACATCTGTATTTACAAAAACAGCACATTTATACTCACACAAAAATCCACAATTCTTTTTTAAATATTGGGGTTGCTTAATCGTAGTAAGCTTTTCCATTTATGATTAGTAAATATAGTTTTTACTTAGTAATAATATTACCTAGCTGCAAGAAATGAATACAGAATTTTAAAAGATTTAAAACTTTATAAATTATTAACATCAAAATTTTAAAAACTGAAAACAATTCTTTTAAAAATTATTCATTGAAAAATTTTTCTAAAGACAATAGTGTCAATAATATATCTCACTCATAAAAGCAATTAAAAGCTTTTCTAATTAATTAGAATTAGTTTTACTGAATTTTTTACTTTATGATTCAGAGCAGATTTTTCTGTAACTGAGTGTCCTGTTTGACAAAAATAAATTTGATGATTTAAATCAATGATTCCCAACGTGGGGAGCATGCCCCACCGGTGGAACATGGTAATATTTTGGTGGGGCTTACTATACCAACAAAATAAGGGGGCAATTCGAGAATGAATTATTAACAGTGACTTGTTTTCTAGTGAGTCTGAGTGAGAGTGTTAATGTGTGTTAATATATACAATGCATATACAGTATGCATACATAAAAATATTTTGTGTATATGTACGTAAATGTGTAATTGGCATACAGAGTATTTCAAGTCTCCCTACACTCAGATGTCTTGGTCAACAAAAGAGAGGGCATGATGCATGTCGTTAGAAGAGCCCATGTTTTGTCGGCCAATCAGCACGTGTGAGCATTCAGTTTGCTTCCTTCACATGAATTGCAGTAAAATTTTGAATATGTAAGAATTAAATATTACAGGGGGTGGGGGCACCATAATTTTAGAAATACCAAAGTGGGGCATGGCCCAAAATTGGTTGGGAACCACTGATTTAAATTATTCTAAAGACATGTCCTTATAATTAATATAACCATTAAGCACCACAAAAATGAATTTGGACTTACAGCCATATCACATTGAAACATTGGTTCCCATAGGATCATTAAAGTTAAGCAACTTTGAAACCAGTCAATACCTTGATGTGTGACTACTTGGGAATACCAGGTGTTGTAACCTTGGATGTGCAGGTGGTGTAAAGGATAATGGCTTAAAATTGTTAATTGGAGAGTAGAGTTCCAATTTTAGTTGAGTTCATTATAAATCACTTATGCACAAATACTCTTTAGGAAGGTATGAATCCACCTCTTCCCCCATCTATGGATTAATTAGTAAGTCTTGTATCACTAAATTATTATTATCTCAAAAAAAAAAATTATTACAATCCAAAAATATTTTCTGGCTTTAAATAACCTTCAAAGAGTTGATAAGCCATAAAAAATAAATCAATTAAATCAATGATGAATTTCTCAAAGTTTCATAAAATTAAATGGAAGGCATTAACAGATATAAAAAAATATATATTTACTAAGATTTTCTTAAAAGGAAATGTTTCTAAAATAATTTTATTTATTTGTGAATATGACATGAAGGCTTCATTAAAATCTAACAATTATCTGATTTTTGCAAGGATTTCCAAATCGATCTGTTTTTCATTGCAAAAAAGATGCTCAAATTTCCCATACTAATTTATGGTCACCCATTAACACAAGAAAAACAAAATTTTTAAACAAAATTTCAAGGTTCTAAAAAAGGATTAAAAAATATAATTTAATAAAAAAATCCTTTGGTCTTTCTTCTTAATAATAACATGAATATTTTGTCAGTAAAACTTTGTTTTTATTAAGTTCTGGGTATTTTTTTATCATGTATGCTCATTTTTTAGCGAATCATTGGAGGTACTTATATTTAACCCATAACTGGTAGGAGAAGAAATGCATTCATGTCTTTTCCAAGGGCATTAGTACAAAGTGAATACAACAAAGATAGAAAGCAATGATAATTTTAAAGAAACCAGCAATGATAATTTTGATGAAATAACTTTGAATTCCTCAATTCACTCTATGGAACTTTAAAACCTCATTTTAACTCTAATTCAGGTTATAAGTCCAATTCTGGCCAAAAGACAGATTTAGGCCAAAATTCCAAATCAGGCTAAAAACCAAGTTCTTCAAATCACAAACTCTACAGAACTTCAAAACCTCTCACTTTAACTCTGATCCCTTGGCATTTTGAAGAAATAAAATTGATTTCCTCAATTCACAAAGTTTTGGAGATATTTTTAAAACTGAATTTAAAACAATTTTTTTTAAATACATAAAGTTTTTGTGTTACTTTAAACTCAATATAAATTAAAAACTTTTAAAATCACTAATTTTTTTTCAGTTATTTTAAAATTTGAATTCTTAACTTTTCCCTCCTCATCTGGACACAAATCCCAATGCTTGATGTTCAAGCACCAGATCAAGGGCAGATTTTCAATCCCAGGATCATCTGGATTCCAAAAAGGTATAATATGTCTATGTAGAGCAAGTGTGGCCCGAGTTAGAGGGGTTTCAAACACATGGACGGACAGACAGAATTTACCATTTATTTATTTAGATGTAATCCAAATGATCTCTAAAAATTTCTATTTTAGATTTCCAAAGTGTGTGTGTGTGTGAGAGAGAGAGAGAGAGAAAACACAAAGGGAATAACTATATATTTTTAGGTTTGTTTATTAATTTTATAACATTAAGTAAACAACCATTAAAATTAGTTTTATTCCTTATAGTCATTAATTTTCTTAATTTAATTTTATTCATTTTTGTAACAACTAAAATGGATATCACATGGAACTTGATGAGAAAACAATAAGAAGATAATCAAGATGTTGACGTTCCACACTACCCTAAACAAAAAGGGAGGAAGGAAACCGTTATCAATACTGGAAAGAACGATAACAGAAATCTTAAGAAAGCAATCTTCCTGAAAAAAAAAAGTTTTATAGAAAGATTTTATAAATTTCAACCAAAAGCAGCACTAAATGCCGAAAGTTTCTTTAAGGAAACGGCAAATATTACCATTGCTATTACCACTGATAGACAGAACAATTGTAATAATTGGTAAAAGTAAACTGTATATATACAAGAAATTATATGTGTGCGTATGTTTTTCTTTGAATATCCACTCAATTCTAGACATATAAAAAGAAAGAAATCGGTAAAAAAAAATCTAGAATCGTGGCCATGAAACAATAAATTTTCTTTTCTTTTTAAAAAGTAAAAGTAATCTTATCACTAAAAAGAAAACAAATCTTAGGTTCCACTAATAAAAAACAATATTTTTATTTTTACCTCCTCTAATTGTGCTTGTACGAGACCTTGTTCCCATTTTGATGGTCCAGTGTTATTAGTCGCAGGTTTCTGTCCTTTTTTTGCCATTCTTTTTCTTAGCCGTCGCCGCCATTCAACAACAAGGCTTCTGTTGCTAAGCAACACACCTGGTGATAGAAAAGGGAGGAAAATGATATGGAAGACCATACACGATATAATCTTTTATCAGCTTGTATTATGCTTTCGCTTTTAAATCGCATCTGGTCTCTCATATGCTGCATCCCATTCTGGTAAATATAAATTACTGCCAAAATTATTAATAGTTTTTTTGTTTTGTTTTGGGTTTTTTTAGATGAATCGATTGATTATAAATTTTGTAAAATTTATAAAACTAAAAAGAAAGCATTCATTTAAAAAAAAAATAAAGAAGAAAAGAACGAAAGAAAAACATAGAGACGGTATTTACTAGCCGTCCCACGAGGGTGGATGTGGCACAAGGCCGAGTTTACCAGGTTCCTCTCTGATCAGAGACAGAGAGTTCGACCATCAAGCCGAAAAGAACATAGAGACAATATTGGCAACAAAAAAGGACACTTCTTAACTAACATAAGGAAGAGACAGTTGAAATTTCTGGGGTAGATAATGAAGAAAGAGGGCTTGTAAAAATTTATACTCGCGAGACAGATTGAATGTACTTAGAGACGTACGAAAGCAACGCATAAACTACCACGCGAGCTTGAGTGAATGGGTGGCGGAGCAAAGTTTGGGAGAGATGGCAAAAAGACAAAAAAATGTTATTAAGAACTACAAAGGAATGATTACCAACATCCTGAATGTACACGGCATGTGCAGAATTTAAACTTTAATTTAGAATGCAGAAACTTTTAATTATTTTTCAGAGTTATAATAAATTTAAAATTTCGGTTTATATTTTTCTGGGAGGGAGCTTTTCTGCTTAAAAAGACTAAAAAGGAACTATGCATTTTTCTAAGGGGGAAAAAGAAAATGTTTTGGAAAAATATGAAATAAATATTTGGGACTACTTAATTAGACTGGTCCACTCAAAAAAAAAAAAATAATGGAAAATATTTTTGTAAATAATTTTTGGACATTGACATTTAAGACAAACACAGTCAGGCCTTACTTAAAAACGGTAAAAACTGCAACACTTGTCCGAATAAAATAAAAAAAAATTAAATTTTTACTTTTTAATAGATTTTCATGGGGTCTAATATCGATACAATGTTTAATCAATCGTCGACTTTTACCGAGTTATTGGTTTTAGCTCTTTTGTGTACGAAAACAGATTTTTTTTTTTAATTAGAGTAAGGGAGTTATAAAAAGGTTTATATTGGAAAAAAAAATGTCTAGAATCGGGGGCGGGGCATAAAACAGGGGCCATAATTCGCATGCGCAAAAATGAAAATAATTTTAATACACTTTGACTTATGGGAGCCTAAAGATATCCTGAGTACTTGATTGAAAGTGACTACCAATCAACAAAATTATTTTTATAAAGTACTCGGCCGCTGTTATATTTTTCTTTTTACAATCAATGTTTCATCAATTTCCAGCGAAATAGCAACACACGTCCCTACAAAATCTAAACCAGTCAACAACTACTGTGTGCTTCGAGTTTTACTTAACTGTGTAGTGTAGTCACTTTTTTTTAACCACTCAAGATATCTTTTAGGCTCTCATAAGTGAAGTGATTTAACAAAATTACTTTCATTTTGGGGCCTGCGAATTGTAGATTTTAACCGATTTATCTTAAATAAAAAACAAACGGGCATATTCATTTTTAATTTTAATTAAAGAACATTAACAACAATTTAAATATGTATCCATTTTTTCTGAGGTTAATAATTATCAAATGAATAATAAACAGATTTTTTTGAAGTTACAAATAAAAAGTTAAAGAAAGTTTAAAAATTCAGAAACTTAAAAATATAATTATGGTATTCGTAATGGGAATAATTAAGCCGTTTCCTAAGAAAACATTCGGCATTCATTGACTGCTGAACACTGAACAGCTTTTACTGCTTTCAGTTGAAATTTATAAAAATAAAATATTTCTAAGGAAAATAGTTTTCTCAAGTTCAACACTTAATAAACTGTTATCGCTCTTTACAGTATTGATGGAGGTTTCCTTTCTAACCCTTTCTTTGAAGTGTGGAACGTCAACATTTTGATTGTCATTATTTTCTCTTCAAGTTTTTACTCTAACTAAAAACTATCCATTTTATTTTTAGTTTTTTTGCCGCTTTTGAAAATCCTTTAATTATCGATGATGTGGCCACACTTTCACTTGATATTTGTAAATAATTTATAGGTCCAGAACTCCGTAAAAAAGGTCAGTAATCGATTTTACGCTGTATCGATATAAACAGGACCCCATCTACATCGATAAAGAAAAATCAATATTATTTTTTGACAAGTATCGTAGCCTTAATCTACAAAAAAATAATCTCAACAAAAAATTCTCACAAGAGAGTTTAAGCACGTCGCGTTATTTTTTTATCTATTCAAATTATATTTTACCCTAAATAAAAATTATAATGTTTTTTTACATAAATTAATTCAGTTGAGTAAAATAAAATATATACATAGGAAATCAAATCTTAGAATTCTGTTTTTAATGTTTATCGAAAGTAAGGGAGATAATTCCCAACAACTTCTTAACAACATGGCGTGGTCAGCGATCAGAAAAATTGGAAGACTTGGTTTATTTGCCAATTACTCCGTCATCAGATATGCCTACTATCGTGGCATGGCATCCGACATCAAAACATCATTCGCTGTTACCTACAAAACTCATGGCGACCCTAAAAATGTCCTTGAAGGTAAGGAACTTTCACTGCCCTCCAAAATCAAGGACAATGAGGTCCTTGTGAAAATGCTGATGGCTCCGATAAACCCGGCTGATATTAATATGATTGAAGGAACCTATATGATTAAACCCCCTTTGCCGGCAGTGGTCGGAAACGAAGGTGTTGGTGAAATTGTTGATATCGGTAGCAACGTGAAAAATTTTAAAGTAGGAGACTGGACACTTCCCGTACATTCGGGATCCGGCACGTGGCAGACCTACGCTGTATATGATGAAACAAACTTGCAGAAGATTCCTAACGATATCCCCGCTATTAGTGCAGCTACCATCGCTACCAACCCGTGTACTGCCTACAGGATGATGAAGGACTTCATTAAACTGGAACCAGGAGATGTTATCATTCAGAATGGAGCTAATAGTGCCGTTGGACAGGCCGTTATACAACTGGCTGCAGCTTGGGGCTTCCGTACTGTAAACATTGTACGTAACAGACCAGACATTGATAATCTTACTGCCACCCTGAAGTCCCAAGGAGCTACCCATGTTGTCACCCAAGAATTCTGCCGTACACCTGAAATGAAAAATCTGATAAAAAATTTGGGTAAACCTCCCAAATTGGGATTTAATTGCGTAGGCGGTAAAGCTGCAACCGAATTAATCAGAAATCTAGCTACGAATGGCTATATGGTCACTTACGGTGGTATGTCCCGGGAACCAGTAACCGTTCCGACTGGAGCATTTATTTTTAAGTCACTGAAGTTACATGGATTTTGGATGTCTCAGTGGAACACTGAAAATTTAAATAATCCTAAAAAAACGGAGATGTTAATGGAATTGTATGCTCTTGCCAAAGAATCAAAATTATTACCACCAACAAGTGATTTGGTCCCTATCCGATCATATGAAAGTGCTGTGTCGAAATCCTTACAAGGGTTTAGCAATAAACAAATATTGGTCATGGATGAATCGTTACTATCAAAATAAGTTTGATTGCTTTAAAAAAATCGAATATTGCTATTATTCACCTGCCTTTTAGTTTTTAACAGTGATTTTTTTTTAACCCCATAAATAAATTGATACTTTAAAAGTAGTATCCAGAAATATTTTTGTTAAGTGCTAAATACATACAATTTTATTTTTCTTGAATTGGAAAACTATAATTCAAGTTTCTTTTTATATGCACACACAGATAATGTGTGTGCTTGTCATTACTAGAAATAATATGTACTATAAGTAAAAATTTGCAAGAAGATTTGGTATGATTAATTAATAATTTTATTAATTCTAACTACTGGTACCTAATTAAAACTTTTTAAACCAATTTACCATATCTTCTTACAAAATATAGTATTAATTCTACTAATGCGGGAAAACGATATAATAAATTTCTATTATAAAAATTTATTATATCAAGAACAATTTTAAGAGAACGTCAAAGAAGTATGACAAAGTGATAAAGTTTTTGTGCAACGCGTTTGTCCAACCAATAAAGTCCTAAGGACGAAACTTTTTTCCACTCCTTCATACTTTTTTTCATATAAAATATAAATTATAAAGCACCCTCTCCTTTTTTTTATGGGTGCAATGTAGCTACATTTATAAAACAAAATTAAATATTACATCGGATCAGTAACCGGAAAAAAAGTAAAAATACATTTTTGAAAGAAATAACATTTTAATAAACTAGTGTTAAGTTAACGTTAAACTTAATTCAGAAAATTATAATTCAGAGTTAAATTTTAAATACAACTTCTATTGCCAACAATTTATTAATATATTATTTAATTACTATATGACTCATTTTAAATGAAAATATTTTTAGTAATGTGTAAAAAAGTTTTAGTTAAAAAATGGCTATCAGAAATTATAAAGTTGGTCTCTGATTTTTAGCTAGTTTCAGACCAAACATGAAAAAATTTCAAAACCGTATATGGGTCCATTTTTCTCTCTTTTTTTTTTAATAAAATGTTTTTGCCCTTTATATGGATGGCTACTGATTTCTGCAATTATTGTCAATGATTAATAATGAGAACAATTATTTATGTATTCCCTTTATTTACTGAGGAATAAAATGAAATTTTCATAAAATTGTGTGAATAAAAATGTTAATTATTTGTTAATTTTTTACAAAGGCAAATCATCTTTGCCAGAGGTATGTCTTTTCTCTCAGTTTATATTTGTATACTGAACTATTCAGTAAGTCTGCTTCTTGAGAATTAGTGGCTGTTGATTTAAAAATTAAATTTTTAATATCAAAAAAGTAATTTGGCACTAGTTAACTATTCTGGTCCACTCATGAAAAAATAGGAAAACATTTTTTGGCAAATAAATTTTGTGCATTAGCAGTCTTTGGACCTTTCTCAAGGCATGACATCAA